TTTTTTTAACGGAGAGAACTCTAGTGAGATGTAGCAAACAGTGGAACGATGCGAGAAAGTAAAAGAAACATTCACAAAGGAAAAAAAGCTTACTCCAACGTTTACTATATGTACCGTGGTCTCTTAGTAAAAAATAAAAAAAAGGTGAACCGTCCTTCTCTGTGTGATGAATGAACGAGAGAAACTCGATCAACGAGCACGAAAGAAAGAAAGAAAGAAAGAAAGAAAGATAGAAGAAGAAGAGGCAAAGGGAAACAAAATATGAGAGAGAGAGAGAGAGAGAAAGAAAGAGAGAGAGGGAGAGAGAGAGAGATAGTGAAAAAAGAAGAAGAAGAAGAAGAAGAAGAAGAATAGAAAGAAATAGAGAGAGAGACACAAGCAAACGCGATTGAGGGGAAAAAATTCGGTGGTTGAGGGAAAAAAGAGGGAGGTAGGGAGGGAGGGAAGGAGGGTGAGGAGTATTTACGTGAATGAGCGACTTGACGAGTCACTCCTATAAAATGCTGCTGGGAAAAAGAAAAAAAAGGGAAAATGTTTCGGCTACGGGAGATGGAAAATGAAGGGAGGAAGGAAAAAAAAGAAACAAATATGAAAGAAACGCAAAAAAAAATGGAAATAGAAATAAAAGCTGCAGGGATGGAAAAAGATAGATAGATAGATAGATAGATAGATAGAGAGAGAGAGAGAGAGAGAGAGAGAGAAGTCAGTATAATGCATTCAGTACAAGTGTGTACGAGTGTTTTTTTTTTTTTTTTATCGAAGATAGAGAAAGAAAACGGTAACATGGTTTTGAATGGAGTGGTTCAATGGTTTGAATGGTTATGGTATGCGCACCTCTTCCTCTCTCTTAAGCTTCCGCACCTGAGCAAGTGGCCAGTTTCACCCCTGCGCCCTCCACCGCCGCCGATTCCACCCCTGGCTCCGGTCTGCCATGGGGAATCATCGTAACGATATTTTTTGATAAGAGGAGCACAGCTGCAGGACAGCTTGTTGCCCATTCTATCACTCCTTTTCTAATTCCTCTTTCACGTCCCCTCCACCTCAACTCAATACCACCAAACCTTTCACACGAACCAATCCTTCTTTCAATCTCTTCTAATCAGGTCTTTCTTACTCTCTCTCTCTCTCTCTCTCTCTCTCTCTCTCTCTTTCTCTCTTTCTCTCTTTGTTTGTTTGATTAATTTTTTGTCTTTCTTCTTCCTTTCTTATTTCTGTATATTACAACACCGTTCCTTTCTTTTTGAATTTTTCTTTGTTTCTTTTTTTCTTGTTATCCTTTTTATGGTTCTGTTTTTTCCCTTAACGACAAACAACCCTTTTATATATATCTATGTATCTATGTATCTATGTATCTATGTATGTATGTATGTATGTATGTATGTATGTATGTATGTATGTATGTATGTATGTATGTATGTATGTATGTATGTATGTATATTATGTATGTTCTCTTCTCTTATATTTTCTTCTTTTTCTTTTTCCTCTTTGTATTGTTATTGTTTTTTATTTTTTTATTTTTTTATTTTTTTTTTGGTTTGAATGAGTATTTTCTTGTAATTGATTTTATTTCGTTATAAGGTCTCTCTTTTGAATTTCTTTTTGACACACTATGCGAACTTCTTCACTTGGCTTGTCTGTCGACTTTTGGCACCAGTTTCGAAATACCATTTCCGGAGGTTTTTAGTGATCTTCGTGTTCTCTTTATGGTATGAGTTTGGGAAGCACTTGTATAACAGGGACAATTCCCCGAAATAATCGAGATTAGAAAGAGGTATCTTTATTGTCACATCATTGCGATCGTCTAAATTCATCAGCTTCTTCGTGGTTGCATGATCACTGCAATCAAAAATAAATTCATATTAAATCAATTATTATTATTATTATTATTATTATTATTATTATTATTATTATTTTATCATATCTTATGAAAGTTTCTTTTACGTATAAACAATGATATGATATTAATAAAAATATGAAAATAAAAACTATCTGTGTAAAACAAAAATATTAAGTAGTTATATCTGACGTATGGTCAAACATAACATATCAATCTCAAATATGTTTATTTAAAAAAAAAAAATTAAAAAAAACGTATAAACAATTGTAAAGACATGAATTAAAATAATATTAAAACACTATAAAACGATAATATGTGAAATCTACGTCAAAGGAGAAATAATTTCATGAAAATTTAATCAACGATTACATCGTCAAGCTCGGCTGACCACACATAGTTCATAACTACTAGGAACACTGCTGCTGCTGCTGCTGCTGCTGCTGTTACTGGTGCTGCTGCTGTTGTTGCTGTTACTACTACTTACTACTTACTACTACTACTACTACTACTACTACTATTACTACTACTACTCCTACGTCATAAAAACACGGCTATGATAACTTAATGATCGCGTTTAATCGATTTGGTCGAGTCATCGTGGCCCTTTGGCAGTTTATCGACGAGACCTCATCGTACCTATATACTATGGAAATTAATTTTAATCGCGGCACAATAATCAAGCTCGGTGTGAGGTCAACAACACTGTGTGCGGGGTGGATGTGTCACGGATAATAAAAGGGGTGGCGTCACGAAAGAGATAGAGAGAGATAGAGAAAGAGAGAGAGAGAGAAAGAGAGGGTTACTGAACCTCTGCCGGCTCTCCTCGTCTACATAATACGTGTGCCGTCATCGCGATAAATCTACGATAACCGGAGGTGTGTACGCAAAGCGATAAATGAACAATCATCCTACGATCGATTATCAATCGAGAATCTAACTTTGAAAGAAGTTTGTTCTAAGTAAATCTTATATATATATATAGATACTTCAACCCCTTACAGTTGCATTCAAGTCACGGAAGACTATAATGGTATATCAACAAATCTATCTTTAAGATTATTCGTGAGTTTTTTTTTTTTTTATGAAACGAATGAACGAAGGAACGAATGAAAAATCTTTTCATTGAAATAGTCAAATGTAAATTCAACGGACACACGAGAGAGAAATCAATCTATTTGAAAGGTCTTAGAAATGTTCGCGGATTTGATGATGAATAAATGTCGATGAATGTTAATAGGAAAACAGAAGCCCAGATAACGTGTAGGCGTGGGTAAAAGGAGCTTTCTAAACACTATATCGATTTCGGCGGTGATGCGGTTACCCATCGTCCGCGCTTAAGCATGAATGGCGGGTGCAGGTCGAACTCGGTTCGGCCGAAATATCACGGATGTTTACTCCTTGCCGCTCCCTTCTCGCATTGCAGGGAGCGTCAACTCTTTTTCTATTTCTCTTTCTCTCTCTCTCTCTCTCTCTCTCTCTCTCTCTCAAGATTCCTGAATATGATTTAATATTTTCGTCACAGCTCCACCTTGTTTGTTATCCTTGTTCACTTTTCACGTAATCTCATCGACGAATTTTCAAAGCTCATCTAAATGTTTTTTTTTTCTTTTCTAATGAGAGAAAATGAAGAAAAAAATAAAAAGAATTAAAATTGATAATATATGAATAAATGTCGTTCAAATGTAGTCGTTCAAAACGTTTATCAAATCTGAAATAAAACTAATCACGAAAAGAAGAAAAAGAAGAAGAAGAAGAAGAAGAAGAAGAAGATGATGATGATGATGATGATGTTGATGATGATGATAATGATGATGAAGTAGAATAAGACGAAGTATAAAGAAAAAAAGAAATTTTCCGCGGCTCCGCCTAGTCGCTCGCGTAAACACTGCACCAGACTCGATGCACCAGCCGCTGCATCCGGTACATGATCAACGCCCCGCCGCACCACCCACCTTCGAAAGGAAGGAAACCTCCTTTCTCTCAATTTCGTCCTTTCCTTCCTCCTTCTTTTATTTTTTTCTTCTACCCGCCTTTTTCTTTCTTTTTTTTATAACACACCACTTTTCTTTTTTAACACCACTCTATATCACGGGGGTGTTTCTTTTTCTCCATTTCTTTCTCTCTTTCTATCCTTCTCTCTTTTTCTTTCTTTTTCTCTATCTTCCCTTTCTCTCGTTTTTATCCCATTCCCTTTTTTCTCAGTCTCGTTTGAAGAAAAAAAAGGTGACTCACCGTTGGCGAAGTCTTCGCCACGGTAGAAGACCGTCTCGAGCGTATCGAGGCGTCGCGATACCTGGCCCTCCGCTACGTTCCAATAACGGTGCCGAAGAAAGGGAGATGTAGAACGAACGAGAGAAAGGGAAAGAGAGAGAAAGACGTGTGTATATGTATATATATCTATATACATATACATGTACATACACACACATATATATATATATATATATTATACACACTTATACCTATATATACGGATAAAGAGAAAGAGAGGGAGGGTCAAAGAGACACAGTGAAGAGGCGTAAAAGAGAGAGAGAGAGAGAGAGATGAGGAGAGTAGATAGAAAGGAAAGAGGGGAGGGTCAGCGCAACTATGGCGGAGGGGTGTGGGTATCCACCCTTTTCTCGAAGCAAGAAAAGTCTCGTGACACCGAAAGACCCACCGTCGATTGGCGAATGACGATCTCCGAAGTGGTCGATGCCGTCGAAAATCGCCCTAGCTGATTTTCTCTTTGTACGGGCTCCACCGTCGTAAACGTAGTAGTCATGCACACGGTATTTCCGGTGTTTTGCGCCAAATCCTCGCCGACGGCGTAGCCATGGATACTGCAGGATCGGACGGAGAGCCGACTATCCCGTACCCCTCTTGGCCACCCTCACGAATGCGCGTCCCCACGGCCGAAAATGTCAATATCCTCTCTCGCTGCGTCTGCCTTGCGCCCCCTCGCGGCTGCTCTTAGCCCCCTCCTCCTCCTCCTCCTCCTCCTCTTCTTCCACCGAACCCCGCAACCCTCTTCTTCTCCAGTTCTCTCCCTAGTTCTCTCTCTTTCTCTCCCTCTTTCTTTCTATTTCTCTTCTTCTTCCTCCTCCTCCGCCACTATCACCACCACCACCACCACCACCACCACCACCACCACTACCACCTAGGCACCTCACTTCGCACTTCACCCTTTGCCCTTCCTTCTCACTCTTTTCCTATCTCTCTACATATCTCTCACTCTGTCCATCCTCACCCTCGTACGAGAACGGCCTGTTTTTGTTGCCGCCCCTCTCGAAGGCCCCTTTCACCAACAGCGCCCCGCCCGATCGTTGGATCCTTGGCGAAACGATTGTTAACACACGATACGTGAAAGGGATGGAAAAGAAAAAAAGAGAGAATAGACAAAAAAAAACAAAAAACAAAGAATAAAAACAAAAAATAAGAGAGAAAAGGAACTAATCACTGAACGGGGGATCTTTCTCTTTATTTATTTAGTCGATTTTCTATTTATCGCAAACTAATCCCTTCCTCCGTTCTTTACACACCACCAAAAATCTCACTCTAATATCTTCCTTCCGTTCGTTCGTACGTTTTTCTTTTTTTTTCCTCAAACCCTTGTTTCTCAACCAGTGAACACACTTTGCGCAACCCCTCTTTTTTCGAGGAAAAACTTGAATACTCGCGTCCGATCACCACCGATCTTCTCCGACTTACCGGATGACTTACGCGCGGCTCCGGTCGCCGGCGCAACCGCCACCACCACCTCCGTATTCCTCCACCTCCACTTTCTCCTCGTTATTGTTGTTGTCGTCGTCGTGGTCGTGGTCGTCGTCTTGGTCGTCTTGGTCGTCTTGGTCGTCTTGGTCGTCGTAGTCGTCGTAGTCGTAGTCTTAGTCGTTGTTGTCGTTGCCGTCGTCGTCGTTGTTATTGTTGTCCTCGTCCTTGTCGTCTACGTCGTTATCGTCGCTGTCACGGCCGTCTTCGTCGTCGGTCTCGTGCTTCCTATAGCGAGGCGTAACCATAGAGATCGGCGATCAATGACGGGCATGCGCTTTATCGCATTTACCTATGATAAAAGGGCGGACCACCAACGTTTCCGTCTCTTTCTCGTTACCCCTGCGAGTACGAGTTTATCTTCGCAAATCTTCTTTCTTTCTCTTTCTCTTTCTCTCTCTCACTCACACACTTTTCCAACACCCATCTAACCAACTCCCTTCCCTTCCCATCACATCCCACCCCATCCCACCCCTGTTCTTTTACCGCGAGCCTTCTACCCCTTAAACGTTAGCCCGACCGGTGCAATCGCGCACACCGTACGATCTCTCGTAGGAAGGAAGGTGTGCAACGCGAAAAGGGGCGAATGCTCGCGATACGGGGCAAGGACCGTGCCTGGGATATCGCTTATCGTTACTCCCATCTCGCCGGAACTCTATATTCCTTTAACCTGACCTCTGCCCTATTTTTCTCGTTTCCTTCCTTTTTTTTGGATTTTTTTTTTTTGTTCTTTCTCTTTGCTCTTTCCTTTCCACCCCTTTTGCCTGCCTTTTTCTCTCTCTTTCTTTCTCTTGTTTTTTTTTTTTTTTCATTCTTTTTTACCACTCCCACGAGGAAAAAATAAAAGAAGGACAAATCCACACCCACGTATCATCCACCTACGAAATTAATTTCGTGTAACAAAATTGTCCGTAACGATGAATGAGACAGGGGTTGATCAAGCTAAGGGATTAAAAAATAAGAAAATAAAATCTAATTTATTTCATCCGACTTTCTATTCTTATCTCACGTTTGAATAATTGATTGTATAATGCAATTTTTTTCTTTCCTTTTTTATATTTTATTAATTTCGCTAATTGATAATTTTCTTGAATATGCAGATCTCATGAATAAAATATTATTCTAGTTTGATATAAATTCTATGTAATATATGTAATGTTCTAATTTTATATACTATATGAAAAATGAACTGAACATTTTTTTTTCCTGACTATTTTTATCATTACAAATGAGTTCTATTTGTCAAACGATCAAATTTATATTCCTTCGTGTCTTTCGATGACGGATTTCCAATTTCTCTTCAAATTGCAGATTTTATCTGACTAATGCATCGCCCTGCACTACTATCATGAAAATTATATAAATCGGCAATGATATTACTTATTGTTTTAACAATATATAATATTAATTCGTAGCTAATCGTTTGAATATTACTTAATTACAATATAATTATTGTTAACAAAATAATTCGTTTTTCGTTTGCATTGCTTATCATATTGCAATGACATTTAAAAATAAAAAAAGATCAAATTAATCGATGCTCAAATTAATGCTAACATTTATATGTGTATTAAAATGTAATAAATTATTTAAATAATATATAATTAACATTTATTTACAAATATAAATCGTTTTATATTCGTGATTCTTGCACACTTCTATTAATAACATTGATGATGCATTTGTAACTTCACGCACGTTGCCGCGCAAAGTCTTCACAACAGAGCTACCGTGAAAAGCTAACCTCTCTTTTTCGTAGATGTTTTGACTTAAAGTTCATTCTGTGATAATCAATAATGTTAACAAAAAATATAATCAAATTAAAACGGGTGATAAATGATATGCAATTGCGATGTCTCTCCCAATTGTCACCAAAATACAAAGAAGATGTAGATAATAAAATGTTAGCTTGGCAAGTACATTCTTATGGTGATTTGGATGAATTAAAATTGTCAAATGTAAATATACCAATAATTACTAAACCAACAGAAGTTTTGATCAAAGTTCAAGCAGCGAGTGTAAATCCCATAGACATTGCAATGATCCGTATGATAAATCAATCATTATCTTTCATAAACATTACTTTACATTTTATCATATTTCAAATAATTATATTTTTGCTAGGTGGTTACGGTGCAACATTGTTGAACCTTATGCGCAAAGTTAAAAACTTTGGTAGCTATACGTACAATGATATGATTGAATTTCCATTAACATTAGGAAGAGATTTTTCTGGAATTGTAGTATCAAAAGGACATAATGTTGGAGACAAATTAAAATTAGGTGACCAAGTATGGGGTGTAGTTCCAGTTGATAAGCAAGGCTGTCATGCTAATTACTTGGTTATTGATAGTAGCTTGGTAATTTATACATCTATGTATTATTTAGACCTATAATATATATATATATACATATAATAAAACATATTTTTATAAATTATAATTTTATTATAAACTATATAAAAATTGTAGACTAATCGATATCCAAAAAATTTATCGTACATTGAGGCTGCTAGTATTTTATATGCAGGATTAACTGCATGGTCTGCTTTGTGGATTACTGGTGGTATGTGTTACAAAACATCTATCAATACGAGATTAAATAGAAGGATGCTCGTATTAGGTGGTTCTGGAGGTGTTGGTACTATGGCTATACAACTCTTGAAAACTTGGAATATGCATGTAATATTATATTATTATATAACTATCACATTGTGTTGTTCTCTTATTGATAGTTGCTCAAAATTTTGTTTAGGTAATAACCACTTGTAGCAGCGATGCTGTAAATATGCTTGAGAAATTAGGAGCCGATGTTATAATAGATTATAAACAACATGATGCTGATGCACAAATCATTTCTGAAGGACCGTATGTTATTTATTATCATCATCTTATCTGTAAAATTTGTATGAATATAGTTATTATCAATTATACATAAATTAATTTTATTCGTAGGTATGATATAATTTTGGATTGTTCTAATCAAGGACCAGATTTAATAAATTCAAAAGGTTATCCATATTATAATTATATAACACTTAATTCCCCGTTATTAAAAAATATCGATCAATTGGGATTGATAGCTGGAACTGTTAAAAATCTTGGCGACATATTTAAATATAATATTCCCATATCTAATAACAAAGGTTCAATTAAATGGGGTTTCTTTGTACCATCGGAAACAGGCATGAATATGCTTCACGATTTTGTTGAACGTGGACAGGTATAATTGTATATTAGGTCTTTTTTTATAATTCTATAGTTTAATATACACATTTTATAAATGTATTTTATATACAGATAATACCAGTTGTTAAACAAGTATATCCTTTCCAAGATTTACCGTCAGCATATGAAAGAGTAACGGAAGGTCATTTGCGAGGTAAATTAGTTATTGATATGAAATAATATTTATTATAATTATTTTTTTTTTTTATATCGTCGCACTTATAAAAAAAAAAAACTGAAAAGAAATGAAAAAAAAAAATATATAATTTATTTATAATAAATATTTATTTACCTTTAAATATATACAATCAACGTACACTTGTGTATTTTGCCATTTCGTTAGTCGTTGTTGTTACATTTCTTTTAAAACCTATTTTATCCTTTACGTCAGAATAACAATCAAATGCAATTTCTGTTGCTTTTTCTGAACCTGTTTTTAAAACTTCTTCCAAGTATAATTGTTCATTTAATAATCTAAATATCTCTTCCTGAATTGGTTTTAACTTTTCTATTATTACATCTGCTAATAGCAATTTATATCTACAATATTAAAAAGACATTAAAATACAGCTAGAATATTTGTAATCCTCTGCACTATAACAATGTATTAAACTTCATGGGTGAAAAATAAGAAGCATAAAATATAGCTATGCATTAAATCATAGTGCAACAGATTAATAATCAACATTATATAAATGGAAATACCTACTTTGCAGTATTTAAACCTTCCACATCTTTACAGATCTCTTCAGGTGACTTTCCAGTAAGTAAAGAATGAATAGAAATTAAATTAGAAACACCTGGTCGTGTTTCAGGTTCATAAGTTACTTCAGATGTAAAGTCAGTTAAAGACTTTTTAATTCTTTCTAACATCACTTCTGGTTTATCTGTCAAATCTAATCTACTTTTGACATCTTTATCCGATTTGGACATTTTCTTTGTAGGATCTCGTAGTGATTTTATTCTGCAACTTGCATCATCTAAAATTTATGCAATCATTCATTATATATGAATATACTTTCTTTATTTTATTGAAATATATTTAATTATTATAGTATACGTACTACATATAAGAGTCCGTGGTATTGGAAAAGTGTCTCCATACTTTTTATTAAAAGAATACGCTAAATCCTGTGATAATTGTATATGCTGTGCTTGATCCAATCCAACCGGTACATTTGTAGCTCTGATGCATATTAAAATTTGCTTTTTTTTTAATTTTATATTAATTAAAACTCAGATGTATCAAACTTAGAAGAGTATGAACAAAGATATTATTCATACCTGTAAAGTAAAATATCAGCAGCTTGTAAAACAGGATAGATATATATTCCTAAAGGAATATTTTTCAAACTATCACTTTTTTCTTTGAACTGTGGCAAATGTCCAAGCCTAGCCATGGTGGTAATACAGCCAAGTATCCAACACAACTCTGCATGCATTGGAACACTAGATTGTTGAAATAATATACTCTTCTGTGGATCTATTCCACATGCCAATAGCGTAGCTGTCATTTTTAAAATATTATTTCTTAATACTGTAGGATTCTATAAAATAAATATACTATATACATATTATTAATATTAAAAGTAATATATACAAAGACATATAAAAACATTGTATCACATTTACAAATATTATATATATTTTAAATTCCTTACATGAGGTAATGTAATAGAATGCATATCTGCGATACTCCATATAACCATGTTTTCAGAATTTTGTAACTTAACCCATTGTTGTATCGCACCTAAATAATTTCCTAAATGAACATTGCCGGTAGGTTGAATCCCAGAAAATATTCTTCTTGAATATTCAGTTTTTGCTAACTGCAATAATAACAAATATAAAAATATGAAAATATTGAACAACTAATTGTTAAACACATAAGAAAATAACCTATAAATTAATTAATTCATTCATTCATTCATACCTTTTGACTAAATGATCTTATTAATTGTGCATTATGATACGAAGATACGAAAACACCACCACATTTAACAATTTTAATCATCTTTTGTAATTAAAAAATGACTTGGAAATGTTTATTAAATATTAATTTATATAATCTGTAACCACACAAAAAATACATTTGACTTTCCCGCAACTGAATAAATTAACGAAAGATAGATAAGATTAATCTTAAATTAAATAACTGAATGTACAATTATTTAAAAGTAGTTTATTTATAAAAATTGTAAATTAGATAAATATTAAATAAAATATAAAAAGAAAAGAATATTAATAAAAATTGCAATTTAAAATATATTCAAATGCAAGGAGTATTCGCGGTCTATTACACGCATGCGTAGTAGAACAAAGTCAACTAGGAACTTTGATTAAAGAACAGTGTATATTGAACTTGTGTTGAATAGAACATAACTATTTTTCTACTCTATCTATATTGATGTAGTCGTGCTGGACACGTCGCAAAGTGTATCTTTTAAGATAACTTGCAATTAATACTTTTTATCACTAATTATCATTAATTTACATAGTATTAACAATATAATGTAATATATGATATAATTTTAAAAAATTCACAAGTAGTATTATACAAAAATTTTATAAGTGTAGTGTAATAATAATCGTGTAGTGAAATCAAAATAGTAAATTAATCTATAACTGTGTCGTGAATTAATTAATATAAATAAATTTCCATATCTTATGGAATATTATTAAAGATATAAAATATAATTTATATTATATTTTGATCGAGTTGAAATCGTTTGACACGTACAATAAACAGGAAGATAAATCGAAAGATAAAAGGCAAAAAATAATCATAAATTGAATGACATTATGGAAAATCCGCACAAAAAACTGATGACGGTATGTAACATGATAAAAAGATATCTTATCAAAAAAACAAGATAAGCATTATACTAAATGAATACAAATTATGTAGTAATTTTATCAATATATTATATAAGATAACAAATTACTAATTTAAATGTCTTTTTATTTTATATTTTATATTTTTTAGTCATGTACCAATGTGTCAGAACAGGCACACCATGTATCAAGAACAAAACGTGGTCAAGCGATAGGTCATGTGAGAGGTTTCCGTGGGTGTACGGTATGGTTGACAGGTCTATCAGGAGCAGGAAAGACTTCAATAGCCTTTCAAGTAGAAGCAATATTAGTCGATCATGGAATTGCAGCTTATGGGCTTGATGGAGATAACGTTAGGAGTGGTTTGAATTGCAATCTTGGTTTTAGTAAAGAGGATAGAAAAGAGAATATAAGAAGAGTTGCGGAAGTAGCAAAATTATTTGCAGACAGTGGACAAATTTGTTTATGTAGTTTTGTATCACCATTCGAAGAGGATAGACAAATGGCAAGAGAAATACACAAAGCCTCGGATCTTCCTTTCTTCGAAGTATTTGTTGATACTCCGCTTAATGTTTGCGAAGCTAGAGATACTAAAGGATTGTATAAAAAAGCACGACAGGGTGCTATTAAAGGTTTTACTGGTATAGATCAAATGTATGAAAGACCTATTAACCCTGATTTGGTGGTAACCACAGAAAATTGTACCTTAGAAGAATCAGCTGCAATGGTGATCGATCTTCTGGAAAAACAATGTATCATACCAGTATTACCAAAACCTACTGCACCTATAAGAGAACTGTTTGTTCCAGAATCCAGAATTGCTTCTGCCAAAGCAGAAGCAGATACTCTACAGAGTATAGAAATAACAAAAGTTGATACGCAATGGCTTCAAATTCTAGCAGAAGGCTGGGCTTTACCACTTACTGGTTTCATGAGAGAAAACCAATACCTACAGGTATATAACAATTCTTCGTGTATGTATATATGTTTATGCTTCTATAAAAAGCTGATACATAATATCTCGATAAAGAATAAAATAAGCATTACTTCTTCTTCTTCTTCTTCTTCTTTATTCTCTTAACACAATTGAAGGCTTTAAGGGAAATGTTTTTAGACTCAACATTTGAAATGTCTACTAGAGGGTGGAAAAGAAGTAAATCAATCTGTTCCTATAGTTCTTGCTATAAGTACTGCAGATAAAATTCGTTTGGAGGGACATTCGGCGATAACACTTAAACATAAAAACAAAGCTTTGGCAATATTACGAAGACCAGAATTTTATTTTCATAGAAAAGAAGAAAGATGTGGATGGCAATTTGGAACTAACAACTTAGCTCATCCATATGTTAAAATGATTTATGAATCAGGAGATTGGTTGGTAGGTGGGGATATTGAAGTTTTAGAAAGGATTAAATGGCATGACGGTCTTGATATATACAGATTAACACCTAACGAAATTCGAGCTAAATGTAGAAAAATGAAAGCTGATGCAGTATTCGCATTTCAACTTAGAAATCCTATACATAATGGTCATGCCTTACTTATGCAGGTATTAATTTGAGATTTATCTTTTATAATACATTGAATTATAATAATATGGAATATTTTATTCATAGGATACGAGAAAACGTTTACTTGAAGAGCGAGGTTTTAAAAATCCTATATTATTATTACACCCGTTAGGAGGTTGGACGAAAGAAGATGATGTACCTTTACATACAAGAATTATGCAACATAAAGCTATTTTAGAAGAGGGTATACTCGATCCTAATTCTACTTTGTTAGCTATTTTCCCAAGTCCTATGATGTATGCTGGTCCTGTCGAAGTAAATGAAGATTTGTATTATTAATATTCGTTACAAAATGTTTATATATATATATATATACATTTAATTATAAAATTATAAAATTTGTTATTAAGGTACAATGGCATGCTAAAGCCAGATTGAATGCAGGTGCTAATTTTTACATCGTGGGCAGAGATCCAGCTGGTATACCACATCCAAATAAAAAAGCTACACCTGATGGTAATCTTTATGATCCAACTCATGGTGCCAGAGTTCTTTCAATAGCACGAGGATTACAAAGCTTAGAAATCATTCCATTTAAAGTTGCCGCTTATGATAAGAAAAATAAGAAAATGTCCTTCTTTAATTCAGAACGGAAAGAAGATTTTGATTTTATATCAGGAACCAGAATGAGGGGTAAGAAATATTTTTTTTCTTAATAATAATAATAATAATAATAATAATAATAATAATAATGATAATATATACCTATCTATACTTATTATTATTATTACTTAAAAATACATTATTACTATAGATTTAGCCAGAGCAGGGAAATGTCCACCTGATGGTTTCATGTCTCCAAAAGCATGGAACATTCTCGCACAATATTATCAAAGTGGTAATAAAAATTAACTAACTTAGAATTAGATATCATTTTTATAGTAATCTATTAATTAGACCACTTAATACAGTGCAATTATTCTATTAAAATATTACAATGATTAACACACGTATTACAAGATTATATACAAAGAATAAGATCAAAGAAGAAATATGCTTTTGATTACATGTTTGTACATGTACGTTTATAAATTTTCCTCTTGTACAGCATAATATCGGGGAATTCATTCCTTCGTTAGATAGGTTGATACTTACAATGATTCCACACAATGTGTAAGTAAATTTTATTTTTTTTTACCTACAGAGATAAACTGACGATATTTTCTATATATAATATATATTTTACATATATGTATATTTATCAATGAAGAAAATGAAACGTGTGAGATATATTTCGTAATAGTAAAAAATATTTCAAATGTTGATAATATATACATAGTCTTTAGTAGTATATAAGGTACAAATTATGGCTACAAAATACTTCTAAAAGAGAGAGAGAGAGAGAGAGAGAGAAGTAAATTTATATTAAAATTATGTACAAATGAATAATTCAATGTATACAATTACTAAGTAATAAAAATATTATGTGCACACAATATATTTTTGGCTTTTCAAAGGCTGTTAAAATAACAACATAATAACAAAAAGACTTGAAATATTGAAAATATTTTTTTTTATTACCTTGATATAACTTACAGAGGAAATTTTTAAAATAAAAAATGATAAAGAAAAAATAAAATATGAAATTTATTAGCATATTTTATCTTGTTGCATCCAACACATAAATGAAACAATACTGTTCTTGTTTATCTTCTGAGAAATAAATCAAAATAATAAATGTATAGGACAAAAGATACAAATAAAAATGTTTTAATATCGTAACAAGCGAAAATGATTAATCATAACTGTATCAAATATTGTGATGTGGACAATTTTAATATATTTTTATAATAAATTACAAATATGTAATTTTTTTTTTATCTTCTCTTATGAAATTATTTCTATAAAAGACATTGCTAAACAATGTTCAAATATTTTTTTTTTTCAAGAGTATAACCATTATATATAAAGAAAACAATATAGCTAATTGAAATCAATTTTACCATTTATCCAAAAGCAAAGATATTCATGAAAAGATCTTGGTTTTTATAACAATTACAAAGTAATTATTTTTATAAACTCGTACCTGTTGTTATCTTACTCTAATTACATATTTAAAATATATACTATCTATGTCAAAGGATTTATTATGTTTTCCTTGCAAAGCTGTTGTGTTTACAAATATATTGTTATGTTCCACAATAACTTCTTTCAATGAAATAAGCAAGTTAGATAAATGATCATGGTGTCTCAAATATACAAATATATGCTTAACGATATACTATTGATCTTACAAATAAATAAATGTCTAACATTGCATTAATATTTAACATTCTTATATACTTCTTCTTCTTTTTCTTTTTCTTTCTTTCGTTTCTTTAGATTTGTACATAGTATCCTTCCTTATATTTAGCAATAATAATTATTGATTCTATTTTAATGTAAAGTATTTATTTTGTTTCTTTCTTTCTTTTTTACGTTTCATGTATTTCCTTACAACTTGAAGATTGTATAAACTTGTATTTTAATGTGTACCGTTAATACGAAGCCATTATTTTATAATATTTTACAATTTTAACATAATCTTATATCTATGATCTTGAAAAAATTATTATTTTAGCAGCGAATAATTGTTCTTAATGTTATCAAATATGCAAATACCATACTCTCTTTTCATATATCCTGAATTTATTTTACATAAATGTGACTTACTTCAGATAAAAAAAAAAAAAAAAACATTGTATAATTTTATCTCGAATTACGAAGTATTGATTTAGCAAGTATCATTTTTTTCCTAGAATTAAAAATAATCAACTTATTAGTTTTAATTGTCATATATTATTGATGCTGTCGCTAAATTGACTTCGGTATTTGTGTCAGACAAATCAGGCAAAGATAGCATAACAGGAATAACTTGAATTTTTCCATTGTCATCTTGTTGTTGCAAATGAACTACCGTTCCACTTTGTAAAATCTCATTAGTCATCATTTCGTTTGCCATTATTTCTGCTGACTCAATGTTGTCTGCAGTTACCTCTTCCGTGTATACAGTGGTATCTTCCATGTTCATGATAACTTCGGTAGCTTCAGAAGCTTCTCTCGATGTTTCTTCATAATCCTACAATATAAATAAGAAATTAACTAACAAGTTAACAACTTATTAATTAACTTATACATATACATAATATATGTATGTATGTTGAATTACCTGTTCATAAACTTGCTCATATTCTTCTGGAATTTCAGGTTCTTCAAATTTAACGATTTCTTCTTTGATAAATTTAGTTTCAAACGGTTGACACGATTGTTCCTCATATTGGCTTTCTGTAAGTTGCGAATCTACGTGCGTTAATTCTTCTTGCTCTTGCTCTTGTTCTTGTTCTTGTTCAGAACCTGAAGTTTCTCCTTGAACTTTAGAGTGCTTAATATTTCTTCCAGGTACTATTCGTTTAAATCCAGATCCACCTAAACTTTCATGACGCCTTTCATGTTTGTTCTTATCACCCAAATACTTAAAACGTTGTCTACAAACACTACACGAATAAGGTCGTTCATTTGTATGAGTTCTTTCATGACAAACAAGTGCGCTTACTTGTTTACACCTCCACGGACAGTATCTACATTGTAAAGGTCTTTCATCGCTATGTCTGTTCTGATGATGCTTGATTAGCTGTATCTTAGTCTTTAAATTAAATCCACATATTTCACACGTATACGGTCTTTCCTCAGAATGAGATATCATATGAGTTTTTAACCTAAGCTGATTTACAAATCGTTTTGGACAATGAGGACACACTAATGTGCCTTCCAGCCTATTGTGAGTTACCATCATATGATGCCTTAATCTAACTTCAGAAGTAAATGTCATATCGCAATCCAAACACTTCATAGGGTCTTTCTCCATATGAGTATTTTTAATATGTGTTCTTAAGATCATTTCTGTTTTGAAAGTTTTCGTGCAATGATAACAAGAAACTCTTTTTTCTTGTAAACCATCAACACTTTCTTTTACAAGGCCAGGAATCAATTCGTTATGTATATGAGACATATGCCATTCTAATGATCTTGCTGAAATCATAGATCTATTACATATGTGACATGTAAATTGTCTTCCATCTTTGTGTTCGCGATTTCTATGTATAACTAAAGTAGAATGATTTGGGAATTTTTCGCCACATACTTGGCACGAGCATTCTTTTAATCCTCTACTATCAGATTTTTCATGAACTCTCAGATGAAGTCTTAATCCATCCCTCCTATTAAATCCAACACCGCAAGTATCACAGCGATATTGTCGTTGATCTTCATGTATTCTTACATGTTGTTTTAATGTAGAACTATTTTTAAACATCTTATCACAATGTGGACATTGTATAGTATAGGCTTTGTGAGTATACATATGTTTAGAAAGGCTATAAAATGGTACTAATTTATGACAAACTGGACATTCTCTTTTGTTCCCTACAGGTTGGTGTTTACGAATACGGTGATGTCTCAGACTGGCAGGATTTTTAAAGTCTGCCCCGCAATCTTCACACAAATAAGCTCTCAACGTTGTATGGACAGATTTTAAATGAAAACTCAACTTTTGTTTGAACGCAAATTTTTTCGGACATTTAGTACATTCAAATATTTTTTCCCACTTCATATGTTGCGTTTTAATATGTTGATCTAGGGTCCCCTGATGTTTGAATTTTTCACCACAAACATCGCACAATTGACCAAACTCATTATCGCAATGTTTCTGTTCGTGCTGCCTCTTTTTTCCTTTCGAATCTAAGATTGTATTACAATATTTACATACTAATTTTTTATAACATATTACATTATGATTTTTTTTTGCTTTATTTGTAGGAAATTCTTCCATGCAATCTTCGCAGTAATGCATTATTTTATAATCATGCATTTTTATGTGATCTTCTAATACTTCCTTAGAAGCAAATGTTTCAGGACAATAATCACACTCTAAATAATTTTCCTCAGGTATATAATCAGCTGGTGTTGTTTCATCGATCAAATCGGGTAAACTTTTTTGAAGAGACGTGTTATTTCTATCTTCGTAAAGGGAAATAATGTCTTCATCTTTTAATCTGGTAATAACTATTTTTCTTTGTTTTAAATAATCTTGAAATTCTAGTAAATTTTTGTCTTTTTCTCCTAAAATGCGTGATAATTTTTCCATGTTTCCCTCTGTGTAAGATTGATCAATTTCTTTTTGTAAATATTCTTTCTTTTTTTTCGCCTCTTCCCATTTTAACTTAAGTTTAGCCAAACGTGATAAATACTCTTTCGTGTTCACATATGCCTTCTCTGAAACCGACTGATCCTGTTGAGAATCTGAAACATCTGAAGCATTCTCTCCTTTTAAAATAGTACTATTCATAGTACTACTATCAACGTCAGATTCTACCTTTAAATTAGAATTACTTTCTTCGTATATATGAGCTTTTTGATCGTCAGAACTTTCTACTCGTTTTGCATATCGACTTTGAGTATCATCATTTTTAATTGATAAATTTGTTTTATTACCCAAAACTTTTTCACGTTTTTTCTTATATTCTTCTATTTGCTCTTCTATTATTTGTTCTCTTTTGTCCAATTTTTTAGAACGTTCTGTAAATAAATTCTTTTCTTTTGTCGCTAAAGCTTCATATCTCTTTAAAATTTTACCAACCGGCTTAAAATCAAATGACTTTATTTTAGTTACATTTTTTTCGTCCTTTTTTTCAAATGGTTTATCCATTTTTTTAACCTTTACTAATAATATTTCATTAGGTTTAGAACCTTTCACAGTGACGTACATAATTCCATCTTCTTGGGTATCGTTAATATTTAAAGGATTTTGCATATCTAATTTTGGAATTTTAGAATCTTTCGAATTTTCAATAATGTCTGATGTATTAGAACATTTGGATTCATCATTATTTTCTAAATGATCCTTTTTTGTTTGCTGCAAAAGTCTGCGTTTTAATATATTTGGTTGCTTCGGAGCATCTTTCCCAAATTCATCATTTTTTATATCAATCTTCTGATTAATTTGAAATTTAGAATTTAAATTGTCTTGTGGAGTATCTAATTTAACGTATGCCTTTAATGCCATATCATATTTATATACAGTTTGATTGGAATCTTGATTTGCATCATCTTGACTCTGCATCAAATTACTACCCGACGAATTTTGTAACAGAAAAGATTGATTATTTTCTTTACTTGTATTATCCTTTTTAGGCGTATTTCGTCTTTTATCCGTGTGACTGTTTTCAATTTCATCATCAGATTCTGCAGCATCCGAACTATCAGGTTGAAATGGGGGATCATCCGGATCAAATTCTTCGATAGATTCATTATCATCGCTTTGATGTTGATCTTCTGCAACGTCTTCAAAAATATCAGGTTGCATTTTACATGTTACATCAGAATTATTTTTATCCTCTCTTTCCGGAGTTGATGATTTTTCATTTTTTAATGAATAAATAGCAGATATTTTTGGAACAAATTCTTCGTTGTCAGTGCTCGTTGATATGGGCACCATAGAACAATCATCAATTTCTTCTACTATCTTTTGACTATTAGTTAAAGATTGTAATTTATCCGCTTCTATGTTACGTGCAATTGTGTCAGTTAATGTAACATAAAGCGATTTTAATTTAATTTCAGCTTTTTTAATTTGCATATAAAACTTATAACTCATTTTTAAATCGCAAATACAATCCATACACATTTGAGTAGACAAACTGTCTTGAGAATTAATTTCTTCTAAATGTTTGATCTGTTGACTTAGCCTCATTTGAATACCTTTTTCACTGAAGATATCAACCAAAGGAAATTTCAAACCGGCACAAGTTCGGCAGTACTTTTTTAATTCTTCCTTAGTATTTTCATACATTTGAATTTTGTCTGATTCTAATGATTTACTTTGCAAAGAAATTTTAGTTAATTCCTTCAAACTATTTACATCGTGAGCCAATAGCTTCACGCGAGGTGTTATTTTTTTTAATTCATTTATATCCTTAACTTGTCCACCTAAAGTATCTTTATTTATTGTCAAAGAAGATACCCTAATAGGTTTCAAAATGGTTTTTAATAAATTATTTTCTAACATATCTTTCTGACCACTGCTATTCATATAATCATGATTTTCTGTCATTAATTCTCCATAATCATGATCTCTATTAAGCTTAGTTGAATTCTGCATATTTATAATTAATATTTATTTCATTAGAAATGATCCTTTTACAAATACATTTATTCTCTTAATATTTATTTATTATATTTTCATTTTATAATAATTATATGCAGTTGAAATAATATTCTTTATAAATGAACTGCAACATTTTAATGCATATCTGTATTGGCATAATAATCTGAAATCATAACATAATAAACATTTATAAATGTATAAAATAATGTTGTTTATTTACAAAATATAAATAATAAATAAAAAAAGAAACATATATATTATACTATTTGTAGTAGATTCAATTTAAAAAATAGAAATCTTAAACACTCTAATAATAAAATACTTGTTAACAAATTATTTATAAAGTATTTCAAATTATATATATATATATATATATATATATATATATATATATTATTAAACATAACAATTTATAATTATTTTCAATAATTCTCTTTTATTATTATCAAATACTATATTGATACCAATGAAAGGCTAAAATGAAAAAAATATTAAATATACAATATAATCTAACAGTACATTTGATGACAACTTTTACAAATTCTCCCATTGCTAATATTTAATTATACGATATATTAAAGAATTATTTCTAATAATTATAAATGCTTCCTGCAAATCAATTATTTTTATTCATAATGTAATCATTCATTTATTTATGGTGTAATACTATTATATTAAAAGACAAATAAATGTCTTTTATTCATTTCAATGCCAAACGTTGAAAATTCTTAAATTTCATTCAAATCATTTAGAGGTTAAGAAATAGTTAGAAGTTTCCTATTAGAATATTATATTCGTAAGTACTTTTATATTTACAAGAGGATGTTATACCAGTTTCAAATTATAAGTTTCTCCTCTTGATACACGATCTTACGAAAAGTAACAAGCGTTATTCGAAAGTTTTTCCAATTTCTCACTACTATAACTTCTTCTTGACGATATCCAGATGGCGCGTACCAATGGCGCCTCTACGTTTATTATTTTCAAGATATCATTGGCATTCTACACTTCCAAAATTCATGCCTGGCTTTGAATATCTTTCGTACTATTTTAGCTCTGTTAATTGACCGTCTTTTGTGCATTAAACCACCGGTGAAAATACTAGGAAAATGTGTTGAAGATGGATTTATGAATTTCTTATAAATTCACTATCTATAAAGACGAACTGCTGCCACGTTTAACTTTCGTCTTACTAAAAATCTTTCCTCGATTATGGTATGACGTCGTTAAATTTAAGATGGCGACCGTCACAACCATATTGGGAAGTCAACATGCAAATTCTAAATTAAAAAGTCATTTTTGACGATTTTCAAATCGCTATTGAAAAAAACAAGATCAAAAAATATAAGTCAATAACAGGATATACAATAACGAATAGAAATTAAAGAAAAAATATTTTACTGTATTACAAAAGATCGATTAATATATTACCTAAATATAATAATAATAATAATAATAATAATAATAATATAAAAGTTTTAAGCACGTGACGTAATTTTCAAATCAATTTAATGAGTATGCAGCTTAAGGATATCAGCCAATACGCGTTAAGCATTGTACATATTTTTAGGGTACTATCAACCATATTTATATTTAGTTTTTTTTATCTATCAAGTTGGTTATTTTTATAATTTTGGTATAAACGTAAATATTTGTTTGCATAAAGAAATTAAATATATTTTAATATATTAATCAATAATTAATCAATATTATATGAAATTTTTGAAATATTTAATATTATTTATGTAAAAAATTCATAATTATATAATATGTTTAATTTTTTTATCTGAAATTATATAATAATCAAAATAACCAATCAAAATAACTGACATGGAAGAAAACTGGCGGGTAAAAATGATGCGCGCGCAACAAATGTATGCATAAAATGGTGTTAGCAATGCGACCAATCGCTAGTAGGTTAAAACTATCTCTCCGCGAGGAGTTTGTTGGCCAATATGACTAGGTAAATTGTGATAAGTTTGAGGTGATCCTCGACGAGTCGTTTTGTATATTAAATTAATAAATAATATATTTCTAAAAGTAATTTATTATTATTAATAGTAATTAATCCAACTAACAAACCTCTAGATAATAATAATAATTAATATTTGTAAACGCTTATAATAATGATTGTAACAACCCGAACCCGATTTAAAGATACTGTAATAGGAGGTGAACACAGAGTTTTCGAGTATTTATTGGTTAATTACAGGTCTAAGATAGAATTGGGAGATGTAACGCCACATAATATTAAACAACTTAAACTCCTTAATCAAGTGGTCTTTCCAGTTTCGTATAATGAAAAATTTTATAAGGACGTTTTAGAAGCAGGGGAATTAGCTAAACTAGCCTATTACAATGATATAGTGGTAATTGAATTGTTTACTCTTATTTATTTATTTATATTAAACATTGATTATAATATATGTTTGAACAATTATTCTTATATGTATGTTGTATTGTTTTGTTTTCTTAATTGTCTAAGAATAATATTCTTTATTTATAGGTTGGTGCTGTTTGTTGCCGTGTAGATACTTCGGAAAACTCTAGACGATTATATATTATGACTTTAGGATGTTTATATCCTTATAGGAGATTAGGAATAGGGACGGTCATGGTACAACATGTATTAAAGTATGTTAATAAGGATGGAAACTTTGACTCTATTTTTCTGTAAGTATGCATATCGATTATTAATGAAACATTTTATCTTTCATAATTTCTTAATAAATATTTATCGATATTCCTAGTCACGTTCAAATAAGTAATGAAGGAGCTATTGATTTCTATAAAAAATTTGGCTTCGAAATAGTGGAAACTAAACAACATTATTATAAAAGAATAGAACCCGCAGATGCACATGTTTTACAGAAAACTTTGCGACCTCGAGCTAATCAAACGAATCAACAGACAATCAATTAATTCAATTTCTCTTGTACATTACATCATATTTTTCATCCTTTTCCTTTTGCCATTGCAAAATTATATTTGTCTTTTAATTCTATAAATAAAGAAGCTCCTTGTTATTACATCTACTGTTGCACCTAATGTTACGGAGTCACCTGTACATAAACAACAATACAAATATAAAAATCTAAACAAATATTTTCATCTTTGTCCACCAACCGATATATATCATCCTTGGCTGTATTTATTAAATAGAGGGATACACATAAATTTAAAGAAAAATTTGATTAACACGTTATGTACCAAACTTCTTTCGTTGAGCTTTTCGTTCAGGCTGCAGTGAATTGTCAATCATAAAAAAAACATAAGAATTTCAATAAATGTAGCTTAAACAAAGTTCAAAATTGGTCCATAGGAATCAACATAGCATTTAATATATTAAACATACAGTAAAATTCAAATTAAAAACACGAAAATAATTAAATTAATCAAGTTATATTTATAAAATCATAAATAAATAAATAAGAGATATATATATATATAAGTATGGAAAATACAAATTTTCAAAACAATAAATATATAACGTGTAACCATATAAATACATTATAAAATACATAAATTAGAAATGTGAATAGTCCCGATGGATAATAAATTTTATATACACATTACCAGATCTTGCAGATCGATTTGAACATTCTTTGAATAATCGCAAGCCAGGTGGAAAATACTTTTATAAATTATCACATTATTAACAAAGCTTTTTAGCATATACACACGTGTATAATTTTACATATATGTATATAAAATTACAACTGTAATAATTCCAAGATCCTTTTAATGCAAACTTCAGAGCCTTCATATGCTTCTTTTGAGATCTACAAAAGTTATATATCAAATGAGATAATATTATATTATATTTATCAATGTTATATTATATGTACAGAGAAAATTAAGTAAAATTATCTTACTGGTGCTAAATTGAGAAAACCATGAGGCAAACCGGATAATATGTCGAGTGTGACTAAATTTCCCAGTAATTTTAATTTTCTTGCAAACATGACACAATCATCGAGACAAGGATCCAGTTCCATTGTCTAAATTGACGATATTCGGGGTGTTAATAATTTGTCACGAATAAAATAAATGTAAATGATGAAATTTAACAACATTAAACTCACTAAAATTTTGACGGGCGGAAAACGAGCTAAAATATCATCCGATGCAAGATATGGACTTAAAAATGGATCTTTCGGAACAGTGAATGCGAATTCTTCTGAAGGACTTTTTGCTCTTTCCATATCGAGTTCTCTAACTTCTCTTTTATCTCCACCAATAGGCCATCCAAAAAATGACCATGCTTTGCCATTGTTTGGAGGACCGTCATCTGTACCATTATAATTATTTAATACAGGAGCCGAAGTACATACGCTTGAATTTCTATACATTTCTAAAAATCTTTGGATATATTCTTGTGATTTAACTTCTTGTTTTGGATGATCTATTCCTAGTATTAGAATAAATAACTTTTTTACATTTATATTTTGATATAGTATACTAAATAAATATTATTTAAATTCGATAAATATGACGTGAGTTATGATGACATTAATTTGTTTAACATTGTACATACCGTCAACATCAGCTAGGCTTACAGAATTTAATGTTGAATCAGATGGAAGTGAGGCAAGTTTATGTGCATCGTTCGTTTCATCCCCATTAGGACTAAGAGCCAATGCTATGAGATCGCTCTCACTAACTTCTGCAAACGATTCAGTTTCCGATTTTACGACTTCATCGCCATTTTGACTTTTTTCTCTAGAACTATGAAAAAAAAAAAAAAAAGAAAAATGTTTATTTTTATTTCCATTACAAATGTTTTCTTGTCATTTAAAATGAAACATAAAATAAAATTGTATATAGATATTATACATCATTTTTAATATTACCCTACAGTGTTTTTTTGTTTGTTATCTTACCCAGTGTAAGCTTTTAGGCATCGCATCATAAAACCAAAAGGTAACAACAGATCTGTTAGGCTTAATAATCGTGATGGTGATGTTACAAATTCTATTAAAATTGGTGTATATGCCATAAAAATACCATCTGGTTTTCTTATATTCATTTGTAAACATTTTAAAGTCATTCCTAAGTTTAAATTAGCCCCTGCGGAATCTCCTGTGTTAACGTGTTATTTTATTAAATAATTTGTGAAATAATTTCAACTTTAATAATAGATTCAAATAAATTTATATATATATATTTTTTTTTTTCGAAATATATATATTTATATATATATTTATTGTAAAAATGTTTTACCAATAAGGATTACTTTTTGTGCCGTACTTCCAAGCAATGTGCTGGCATGATTCAATGACCATGCATAAGCATATAATATTTCTTCAAGGGCACGAGGAAATGGTGCTTCTGGTGCTAAACTATAATCTATACTTAAAATAGGTACACCTAATTTAACTGCCCATGTTCGTAAATAAGATTCGTGTGAACGGGAAGTTTGTGATACAAAACCTCCTCCATGAGAATGAATAATCAAACTTTCAGATAAGCCAAGTAATTCTCCTCCAGTACCTGCTGATCCAACCTGAAAGAAAATATTTTTAAATGGTCTGTAAAAAAGACATAGAAATAATTTAGTAAATCATTTTCATACCATTCCAACACGACGCACAGCACTAAGTAATCGGACATGTATCGGCTTCCTTCCAATATGACTGTTTGGTATTGGAATAGAAATTTTGCCTCCATCAAGCGTATCGAGTGTTAATTCTTCAGGAGGTATAGATATAACTTGATTTATACTTAATGGTACGACCATTGATACTGAACTGCATAATATTTCTAAAATTTATAATATATAAGTAATGTAATACTTTTTTTGTTAAATATGTTCTTTTTTAAATTCTACAACAGATCTTACCAGTTTCATTTAAAAACCAGAAAGATTGACAAAATGAAACATCTGCATGCTGAGATACATGGATAATACGACGTGCTCTTGCTTCTGGATCCATTACATATTTTAAGGAATTAGTCCATCGTCCAAATAATGTTCCATTAGAATAATAAATTTCGCTGAACGAGGCCAAACAGACAGATATAGTTCTTAAAATGTTTTTTATGTTATCACCAAACTAGAATATTTGTAATGATTCTTTAATATTTAAAATTTCATGTTAGATTTAATAATAATAATAAGAAGAAGAAGAAGAAGAAGAATTTGTTGGAAATACCTGGAATCCTAAACATCTACCATAAAAACAGTATTGATTAACAATTTCCGTTTGATTTAAAAGTTCTTGGGGACTGTGTTCATTAGAAGAGAACAGAGATAATTTTCCATCCTTTGTTTGATCGCTCCAAGAGAAAAGTGTTTTCAAAAATTGTAGACAAGTGTACAAAGATGCTAACAATTGAGAGCAAGCTTCAACTTCGCTGAATAAATATTAAATTAATCATTAAATGATAATACATAAATAATACCATGCAAAAATATAATTGTGAAGGATATAACAAAATATTATTTACCGCATATAATAACTTTTACGAAATAGGAAGGAATCTTTTTGACAATACATTTGACGGCATACAGTAACAGAGTGCATAATACCTCTGTCAACTAACAATAAAAAACTTCTATATCCATTTCCTGGGGTTTGTTCATCAAAGTCAAACATTGGTGCAAATTTTGAGATTTCTTTGTATAATGGTTGCATTTTTTCTAAGTGATCCAATATTGCCAAAAGACTAGCTCGGATTTTTGATCCATTTTCATCTTGATGCGTTGAAAAATAGTCTTTATTAGCATGACATAATTCTCTAAGTGCACCCCATTGTAATGGTTCAAATTCCTCGAATGGTCTTTCAAAATCATCGTCAAGAGACATTTGAAGTATTTGTCAATTTTATTCTGTCAATGCTATTAATAAATAATAAATAATTATTTTATTTTAGAATTCTTTCAACTTGATAATATTATTCTTGCATTTGTATTGATTCTCATTATTTTAAAAGATATTCCATTCATTTAATTCAAGTTTTTCTTGATTCCGTAAACAATGAAATCTATATATAAAAGTCAATATATAAAATGTATTATTATTTATATGAAAAATATAATGTCGTGTTTCATGATGTTAATTTTCATTTATTTTGATAATTTATTAATGAACGTTGAACGTTGACAATTATTTATAAGACATTTTCGAATCATTATTGTGCAATGTTAATAATCATTTGAATAAATTTATTAATAATGCATGTCGTTAAATGCAATATTATAATACGAACATCATTGTTACCATAAAGCTTGTCACAATCGATGAGCGTTTTCCAAACACAAATGCGTCGTTGATGACACGTACGCTTTTCTTCAGAAAGCTGGATAACGACTGGACAGTTTTAATCCGCGCGCTTATAAATGTCCAATCATCGTTTCTCAAATCTTTTGTTTTCAATATCGTTTTAATTCTTTCCCTTATCTATTAAGAAATAGATCAAAGTAATATTTCTTTATTAACAATTAAATATTACAAATCATGTTAATCTATGATTGTTGCCTTTATTGATCCTATCGTTAAATTTGTTCTATTTTTATATTTTACATAGTCAAAACATTATAGAGATAAAATTATATTTTTCTCTTATCCTTTATCAAAGTATATAATTATTTTAATTATTAAGATAACCAATTTATAATTATTATATATTATTATAATTATTTTTCAAAAATTTTGCAGACGTGGAAAATAATACTCTTTTGTAACCCCTTTCAGACTTACAATTAAATAATATATATTAATTTAGAAAATACATTAAGTTAATAATAAAAATTTATTGTACAAATAACCGTCACAAATAGATTAATTTAAAATATTAATAAAGAAACATATTATTGTCAAAGAAAAATAAGATTACCCAAAATCATTTTCTAAATAACTTAGCTGATATATCATTTCCTTATATTACCGACAATCGATAATAGTAAATTCATGTTTTTTTGATAATCGATAATAGTAGATTGCCATTTAAAAAATGTTATTCACAAGGCTTATGCAACTATTACTTGATAATTATTCTAACCAATAGCGTGTTACCGCGATTGCGGGAATTTCGCAAAGTTTGTATATCTCGAATTCTATTGGTCATTATTATGCTAATTCTAAAATGAAAATACGTCTGACCGTAAGCATAACTTTTTAATAATGATCTAATTTAAAAAGAAAAAACAATTTTACATAATTAATTATATATAAAAATTATTTTTAATATAAACTCTGTAATTTGTATAAAATCTTAAAATGATTTTTACTAAATAAGAACATTATTATTATTAAATTCATCTCTAATATAATTGTGAAAATAAATTACGAATATTATCAATAATGATTTTATGATTTTCTATAATTCAAAAGCTTAATAAAAATTTGAATATTTATTCATTTATAGAATTCTATTAAAATTTATTTAATAATATTAAATAATATTTTCCTATGACACATTATCTATTTGATGATAATAATAATAATACACACAAAGAAAAGCGAATACATCACGATTTTCTTAATGCAGTTTATACGCGTGACTCATGTTTTTGTTTTATGATTTATACGTTCTTATTATTAATGATGAAATTTAAATAAAATATTTATTACAAATATCGAATATCGAGTTAAAACAAACTTCGATTAGAGTCTCCGTATGGCGCTTATGATTCTAACCTTTATCAGGATTACTATCTATTATTAATTTGTTGTTCCTCTTTATTGGATTTATTTTATTTTCCAATAATAGTAATAATGATAATTACTCTGATATAAACATAATGTTGTGATTAAATATATTATTACGAGGAATTTTACCAACCCTAAGTATGTAAAAGTATTTCCATCTTTATTGTGTGTACTGTGTGTGCATTTCTGTGAATGTGTGTTAAATAAACATGTCAGTTTGAATTTGACGTGGAACTTTATAATTTATTATAATTAATGCAATACATTTTGTTTTATATTTGAATCATAATCTTTAAATCAATTGAAACGTTTAAACAAAACATTTGAGGTTAGAAAAATATAGGTTAAATATTGAAAAGTTTTGGTAAATAATTTTATATAAAATTGCATGAGAATAACAATGTAAAGTACTGAACTAAATATTATTAAGTCTGAAATGTGTAATGTATATTTTATTGACATTTATATTTTGTTTTTTAGGGCACTTGAAAAAAATATAATATCTCATTAACAACTATAATGGAAATAACAATAAACGAAATTGGATGGTTTTTGTCAATGAAATGAAATTATTTTCAAGCAGAGCAATGAACAATATTTCTGGTCAATTTCGTAAGACCACATGGGATCCTATTCTCATAATATCTCAAATAGTGGCGGTGCAATCCGTCATGTATTTTTTTCTTGGAATATGGATTTGGATTATAGCATCGCTTTTAGGCTCAACAAATTCTTTGGACTATGCATTTCAATACAAGGAAATACACATTCGTAATTTTGGAGGACAATTAGTAATAGTAATTTTTATTTTAAACGCATTGGTAGGTGCCATGGCTTTATGGTGGTTAGTACAGAGAACAAAACAGTGTATGGACTTTGCATGTACAGCTCATTTGATACACTTGTGTTGTTGTTGGGCATACAATGCCAGTTTTCCAACGTCGTTCAGTTGGTGGAGTTTAAATGTCGTTTCGTTAAGTATAATGTGTGTATGCGGAGAATTTCTTTGTATGAGAACAGAATTACAAGCAATACCACTCGGTATGAATAATCAAAAAACAGCCTTGTAATAAAGAAATGTATATATATATATTAATTAATGAACATGCCAGTCATTAATATGAGAATACAATAATTTTCTTTAATATGTTACTTTCATTATATTCATAAGTCTAAGTATTTCTCTTAGACTAATAAGAATCATAAGTTTTATAAACTATTTATAAATACAAATATATACTACACGATATAACAATATCAGCACAGTTACTATACGTTTTATTAATATAATATATATTAGTAGTTTAGTTAACAACAATTTACATATTTTTGACTATTTGTATTTAATCTGTAAATCATTTAATGATCATGTTCTTGGTGAAATTCCAATCCGCAATAACCACAAGTATTTGGACCTGGTTCATCCTGTGTAAAGAGATAAAACAATACATTTAATATATTTGTTAGTCAAATTTTTAGTTCAAATAAGCTATGATATTTCATTAGATTTTTACCAAATTAATGTAAACTTTTGGATGTCCTAGAGGACCACCACCACCATCGCAAGCTACAATGCGACTTTTTACAGGCTTTGATGGTACTTTGGATATTAAATTTATAGCCCAATTTGGATTAACATGTTTTGGTCTGTCGACAAATCTTAGAAGTCGATAATCATCAGGTTCAAATTTCTAGAAAATAAATAACAGAATTCTTGTTTATTTATAATCTATGAAAATCAATAACGCAAATAATATTTAAAATATAATATATAAATGAACTCTCTCTTTAGATTGAATATAATCAAAATTATTAAGTAATTTTTAAATAAGCTTACCTGTCCAGTATGAGTTGTAATATCAGGTACTTTATCAGAATATTTTCGTATAAACAAACTCACTACTGGTAAGTTTATTTGTGATATTTTACTGGATGATTCCAGCACACGTAAAATACCCTTGTTCGCCATATTTATTAGCTGTTATGACACTGCACCGTAAGAGGTCTCCTATTTATATTTTTATTCTTCTACGATACAGTTTAGGTTAGATAATTTAGGTTAAGTTGAATAATCAATTTTTAATTATAACAAATATTTCTAATTAATGAATATGACCAATATGATGTAGAATGTTTAATTATAAATATATTTTAGACTTGTAATTTTATTATGTTGTTATTCGTAATTTTCGATTTTCAATATATCGATTGCGATTCAATTATATCGATCCTAAATTTAAATCGAAATCGAAGACTCGCAATTTGAAATAGTGTTACATTTAATTGAAATTGTAATAATTATTATTATATTATTATAATAAATTAAATATTTCTTATTGTTATAATTAAATAATTAAAATTATCTATATACATTTATATCATTTGAATTATTTCATCAATATTTTCGATAGAGATACATTTTAAAATAAGAATCATCATTAAAATAAAAGTGCGATAAAATATGTACAACCCATCAACATGGAATAAAAATACCATTTATATATATTAAAAATAAAATAGATCAAATTCCAAAGATAAAATATAAGAAAATTAAAATCTAAAAAACCTATAAGTATGCATTTTCAACTTATAATCTCGAGGATCATGCGCGTGAAATATATTCCATGTAGTGACCTTTATACCAGGTCTTGATTGAACAGGAAGATAGGGTGTTTTGGTAAGATTAAAATCATGGAATCAATTGTTGATCATTTGAGGATACGTTTCATGAATCTACACGAAATGATTTTGTAAAAACAACAACTTCTTCGACAAAATTTGATTCGATTATATTTTATTTTGTAAATATGATGAGGGTGCGAAATGGAATGAGACATAGAGAAAATAATTGAAAAAGGGGCCGCCAGTTGATCTAATAATTAGGAGTAAGAATTCTCTTAGGTACAGGGATATCGATCCGCCTGGGGTAGCGAGCAATGCGACGTCTCTATAACGTGAAACAGCTTTTCTGCTTATTTATCGTCGTAAGTGTGTTGTATATGTGCGCTAGAATAGTAAAAAACGAGATAGAATCAGTGCTTTTTCCCTTATGCGACAAGTACCTTATACCATATATGTTTCAAGGCCACAGAAAGCCTTACCGGCAACATATGTTTTGCATTTGCGTACGTAGATCGAAAGGAATTTCAACTTTAAATCAACAACGGGATATCAATTAAGGATAATGTAACACAAATAATAATCAACGGTGAGTCGAAATTAATGTTTTTCTAAATAATAATAATTATAATCTCGATAATCGTAACTCACTGTCATCAAATTTGATCAATTTTAATAATTTTAGAAAATTATCGTAAAATATTAAAGGTTTGAGTTATGGGGTATCAATGAGTATTCGATTTGTTTTTGTTTATTAATGAAAGATTTAATGGAGATTATTTTATTTAAAATAGATACAAGAACGAATTTTAATATGGACGTTCACGGAGCTGGAGTGGTTGCAGTTTTAGGAACCGTTGGGGCTGCTACTGGAGCTATTTCAGCCGTTATCGTTTACACGATTTGTGCACGTCGTCGAAGATCACCATTACTTCCTTCAGGCATTGGTCCTCTTAATTGGTTTGTTTTTTATTTTCCTTATTACATGTATCAGATCTATCTAACACATTTTATTTTAAAATGATATTTAATTAATTACAGGTTCGAAAAAGATTTGTTGAACAGAGCTGAAGAGGCTGCAAGATCTTCGAAGGATGTTCTAGTTGGATTAGGATCAAGTGTATCTCTTGGTCGTGATAGTAGAACTCCAAAACACAGTGCTAGTCGTTCTGATGATGAAGAATGGCAATCGGATCATGTATTCGACAGCATTGCGAGTGATTCTCCAAGAAAAAGTAAGAGTTTTTATACGAGAATATTGTTCAACATTATTCCAATGGAATTTGATCAAAAGAATTATTATTAATTAACATATTTATTTATAGTTCGACATCATTTGTCGGAATCCGATGATATTCCACCATCACCTATGAGTCCTCTTACACCACCTTTACCCGAAGGTGCAGTTGTAGCATCAGAAAAACGAATGGTAATCGTTAAACATCCTCCTAGAAGTTTAGATAGCTCTCATTCGAGACTTAATAGTCTTGAAATAGAATCAGAACCACGGAACAAGGTATACAATAATTAATTTTATATTCGTCCCGGTAATTATGACAATGGATTGAATCAATGAAATTGTAATGTGCGTAAAGTAAATTATAAGATTAATTTTAAGATTCAATCCATTATCATAATTATCGACTATAATTGTTCTTTATGTGTGTACTGTGTTTTTATCGTTAAATTGATTCGTAGCTCTCTTCTGTCTCGTCGACATCTTCGACGGATGAGTTTAGGGGTGAATTAGAAATAGGTTTGATTCACGATGCTACCGATGGTATTTTGACTGTACGACTTATAGAGGTATTTAATATTTCATATAATTCATTTTTGTTAAATAAATTTTGAATTGATTAACTTGAAACAAAATTACCCTCTACACACATGCTCCTATATAAATATTTGATTCTTCCTTTTTTAAAAGGCTCGTAATTTACGTGCTCGTGAACTTAGTGGAACAGCCGATCCTTATGCTAAAATTCGTCTGTTACCTGATCGAAGTAACGTATGGCAAACGAGAATACATAGACATACTTTAAATCCAGGTAAAATTGATGATACAATATCATTAAAATACATTCATTATTTAATTACGTATTTTGTTTTCCCTCAATAGTTTTCGATGAGGACTTTGTTTTCGAAGTTAATCCAAAAACATCATTATGCGACAGGACTTTGGAGGTTCTCCTATACGATTTCGATGCATTTTCTAGACACCGTGGATTGGGTTACGCGCAATTTCATTTATCTACTTTGGTAGATATTCTTGGATTAAATCTTGAAATCGTTAGAGTACCAATATTGCGTTATGGGGCTGAGGGTGGTTTTAGAGTACCACCTTTGGGTGAATTGATGGTGTCTCTTTCATATCAACTATTAGCAGAAAAATTGACTGTAATTGTAGTCAGGGCTAAGAATTTACCGATATCTGACGAGTCAACAAGTTGCAATCCATATGTAAAGGTAGGTGAACAAATAAAAAATATAAAGGAAATATTTTATTATAACATTTTCCATTATTTATTAGGTGATACTTAAGCAAGATGGGAAAACTATTAAGAAGAAGAAATCTAGTATCAAACGGGATGCAACTAGTCCAGTCTGGAATGATATTCTTAGCTTTGATGTTCCTAATGAAAGCTTTTCAAAGTGTGCATTAGAATTTTTAATATTGCGTGCTAACGGTGAGCTAATAGCAAAATGCGAGGTTTCTAGTAAATGTCAGAAAGAACTCTTCCATCGTGTCTTGTCAGGGAAGGGTGCTTCTGCACAATGGTTACCCTTATCCGAACCGGAAATTCATCGTATCGATGAATTTAAAGAATAAGCACCTAATTTAACTTGCAGATCGTTGATCCAAGAGTCTACATGCTTATTTATAATTCTGTCTATAATAAGAAATACTTAAAGAAAAGAAGAAAAAAAAGAAAAAAAAGAATCTATAACGAATTAAATCGCACATATACTATTTTCACTAAATACAAGAACATAAGTTTATAAAACGCAAATGATATTTTCAGATATTGATTACAAAAATACGCTCTACTACATATTGTCATGTTTATTCAGAGAATTATTTTCTACGATATTAATATAAATTAAAAAAGAAGAAGAAAAAAAAAAGAAGATATATTAACTATAAAAAGTCGATTATTTCAAGAGTTTTTTATTTAATATATTATCTTTTTTTTTTACTTGAAATTTGTGTATATCGAACATATTTAATTAAAAAGAAAAAAAATTTTAAGATTATGAGATGCACAGTTCTGCTGGTAAAAAAGAAAAAAAAAAAGAAAAATAAATGCCGTGCGAACGATCTCTAAATTAAAGGACTATAAATTTCATGCAGTTGTGATATTATGTATATTATCCGAGCCAACTGCATGGATATGCTGATCTCATAGATGTAATTGTTGGATCTGTCTGATAGACTGAAACTTCATAGAATATATATATATATATATATATGAGAATATAATTATTCTTTCTATATATACATGGCCAATATTGTAAAACTGTAGTTTGTAATAATGTAATTGTAATATTAGTTTCCTGTTGACACGACAATTTGCAGGATATTTTCAATGTCGAAATGAAAGCAGGTTTTTTCAAACGATGCTAAAATTCAATAAGTGTCTCATAGTTTCCAAATTTAAAATTTAGGAAAGATATATATTGTATATTTGCAAAAAAAAAAAAAAGAAGTTAAATACACGTATTATATTGTCTCTAATATTTCATGAGATGATAATAGCAAAGTCCGAAATGTTTGTTCAAATACTGTGAACTTCTTATCACGAGGAATCACGTATTTTAGATAAATCTATTATCCACACGCATACATACGAAAAACATGTACTTTTATTTGTAAACGCACATCCGTTATAACTAAATAATTATAAAAATAACACATTAATGCCTGATACATAAAAATACCCAATATCAATAATAGATTTTAAATGTGCCTATCGCGTGCACGTGTTACGTTTAAGTATTCGTATAGAATAATTGTAAAATTGTGCTTACCATCTACTTTATGCTTCCTCTGATGTGACAAGAAAAAGTACAAATACTTCATAATAATTTTCAATTTTTAAAATGTTTTATTCACTGTACAATATAACTGTACATAAAAGAGGAATGGACCAACATAATGCGATCCCTGAGTTTAATCGAACAAACCTGTAAAGGAATGAAATTTAATTAGTATACAAATTTACGTTTACATTTTTATATATATATATAAAAAAAGAAAAATATTTAAATGTAAAGACTATTCTCATTTAATTGTATTATCTTCATATATGCTATCAGCAGCTAATACATGATTAAATAATCATTGAATATACTTTTACTTGGATTAGAATAAATATTATATTATAATAAGCTCGTGGTAAAATAGAAAAGATAAGAAGATTTTGTTGAAAATTTATTTCAACTTACCGAAACCCATGTCCTCGTCTGATTCTTCTTCAGGTTCTTCTTTCTTCTTTTCTTCCTTAGCTGGGGCAGCTTCCGTACTAGCGGGTGCAGCTGCAGCAGCAGCAACTAAAACAAAAAACGTGCTCATTAATATAAAGAAAATTATTAATATATAATATTAATTAAAGATTTTGTGTTTAATTGTTGATAACAGAATTTAAGTCAAAAGTGTAGAACAAATGACTAAATAAGATTCTATTTTCATTTGATATTTCCTCGATCGCTGACCATTCTAACAATATAACTATGTATAGAAAGGTGGATGAAGAGGACAATAAAATAAGACAAATATTTAAATACATAATAGTAATAAAATACATACCACCAGCACCAGCAGGTGCAGCACCAACACCAGATCCAATTCTAGTGATGAGATCTTTTACGTTAATTCCTTCCAAAGCCTTGGCAAAAAGTCCAGGCCAGTAGGATTCTACATCCACGTTGGCAGCCTTTAAAATTGTTTGAATCTTTTCACCCTGTAATATATAAATGAAAATGTTTAAATTATACATTCATTATATATTGCTTTCACATAGCATATAGCATTTCATATAGCATATATTCACATATATATTGTTGTTTCGTTTTTAAACTTGACTATTCTTTTTTTTTTTCTAAATAAAATAATTTTTACAATTTCAATAAATAAAACAATTGGAGAATAAAAAAAAGAATTATAATAATAAAACAAAATTAATTTGAATAATTATATACAATAATATATAAACTACACGTGTGAAGTAAAACATGGTGTAAATATACATGAAATTTTCTTACCGTTACGGCGATTTCATCGTCAACGAGAATAAGAGCGGAATAAACGCAAGCGAGCTCAGCCTTCGTAGACATGTTTATTATCTTAATTGAAATTATTTAGACTCGATGAATTTTAATATTAGTGCAAGTCGCCGATTTGGCCTTAGCTCCGCAAGAGAGAACAAGCACACGGATAACGTTGGGCTGATGGAAAGGAACAGAAGGGAAGGCGGTAAGCGGATGTCACGTGTAAAAATGGGCACTCTTAAGGAGAATTTACAACGTTGCTACATCTGGTGAATATTAACTTCGTAGTTGTCTCTGATTGGATGAACTCCAATGAAATCCTGCCTTAATGGTAGTAAAAATAAATAATGTATTTTCGATATTATTTTAAATAATTATCTTTAGAATAAATATTTAATAAAATAATACAAAAAATTCATATATATATATATATATATATAAAGAAAATATTATAAAGAAACATTAATTGAAAGGAAATATTTTATTTTATCTACGAAGTATATATTTAATTTGAAAATGATCAATATGCAGAACTGTGTTGTAATTAGAACAATACTGTTATATATATTTTGTAATGTTAATCTTTATAAACTTGTATGTGTGTACAAGTATTGCGCAAGTTTATTAGAAATTGCAGTCTATTATATGACGTAATCGATGTTATACCAGTACGTGTCATTATTGATGTATAATTATTTCTTGTGGTTGATAATTATTAAAAAATAACACATGAAATATTTATTGGTCTATTAATGTAGTTAATAAAATAATATGGACATTGATTACGTAAAATCTCGTATATAAAATGTACATAAACGAAAATAGTACATATTAAGTACATTTGAAATACGTCGACTTTAGTAGGATGTCGCTACTTGCATTCATTGGTCGAAATTGTTTCTCTATCGATAGTTCCTTGTATCGATTGATAATCAAACAAATCAATTTCCCAGCTTAATTAAATTAATCAAACAAATAAATAATAAAAGATTAAATATAAATAAAAAAGAAGGTCGAGATAATTAAATAAAAACAATCAATACGAAATATAAGATAGAATAACTATAATAAAGATCAGTGAAAAAAGAAGATAGTTATATCGAAAATCGAATGGAGGGAGAGTTTCGAGATAAGTTAATCGATAATTAGTACATGATTTGTCCAATAGGAATAGGATTGGTCGACCGTTGTGTCAGTAGTGAAACGGACGTCGTCGGTCTAGTTAGTGTTTAATCGAGTATTCGTGAAGTGTAAAGGGCGCGCGCGTTCGCGAGGCGCTTCGAGCGAGCTTTTTCTAAGTTTTAGTTAACAACGCAAGGTAGTCGTCGTCAACGATGACGACTGCGCCTAGAACGTGATAATATCCCAAATTAATAGATAGATAGCTAACTAGATAAACAGATAAATTGATAGAACAATAAGCTACGGTATAAGGATTAAACGAAGACAACGGAGTTAAAGAAGTTGAAGAAGCCGAAGTCTAGAAGAAGAAGAAGAAGAAGAAGAAGAAGAAATTAGTAGTAGGAGAAGAAGAAGGAGGTGGTGAATGTGTGGTAGTGGTGCAGTGCTGAGATAGGCCTGTGTCGGCGAATGTTTCTTTCGAATGATCGTTGCTATGTAGTACCGGCGTAAATGAAGCGGCGGCGTATAGCACGCTCGCGTGCTAAGAAGGGGCTACCGCCAACGGTGCCGATTACGAGAATGGCGCGCAAATGTTGCGTGCCCAACTGCGAAATTGACGTACAGGAGGCACGTAACAAGGGTCTACCTCTTCATAAATTTCCTAAGGACGCTGTACTTAGAGGCAGGTGGTTGACGGGTGCTCCTTTCGGTTCTAACTTCAAGCCGACGCCCGGTCAAATCGTTTGCCATAGACATTTTAAACGTGCCGACTATGAAGCCGCCAATAAAACTAACAAGCTAACGTTGAAGAAAGGCAGCATACCATCGGTATTTACCGACTATGATAACCACCCAGGTATCTTTACCTCGAAATTTTAATCTACGTTACTTTATTGTTTTCCTATAATATTATTTTTATTATTTAATTTATTTATTTCTTTTACATTTAACAAAGAGAGAGAGAGAGAGAGAAAGAAAAAGAAAAAATAGTTAACATTGTCATATAACTCGTGCGTCCTTTTTCTCTTTCTTCTTTCGCCCCTTACATCTTCCCTCCTCATCCTTCTTTTCTTCCACCTCCTACCCTACTCCTACTCCTACTCCTACTTCTACTCTGCTTCCTCCACCTTCTTTTACCCCTCCTTTTTTCCTCACACTTCTCTACTTTCGGTGGCTTTTCTCCTCCCCTCTTATACTCCTCGTTTCTTCGTATTTACAATACTCGCGTGTACGCGATACCTGCAAGAGAGAGAGAGAGAGAGAGAGAGAGAGAGAGAGAGAGAGGACATACAAAATCATGGATTTCTTTTTTAAATAAACTATTTCTTCCTATGAATTTTTATTTTTATGTTTACAAAAATAGAATATCTTTCTTCAGATAAAAAAAACCAAAACATTAGAATTATTTATGCATGATTGAAGCAAATGAAACTTTTGGAGATGTTCTTTTTGATATTCTTTTATTTCAATAATGCATTTGTTTTTAATCTTTAATATTTGTTTTTTTCCATAATAACAAATAGATTGTTAATAAATAATCATTATTACTTGTTTCTTAAGACTCATATTGTTTGACATGTGTTATAAGAATGATTGTTTATGTTTTCAGATCCAGTAATCATGTCTGTTAAAACCTCCACTTCTTATGCCCAAGAAGATTTGGATTTAATAAATGCTGAGATTTTAAATATGAGACATTCTCCTGTATTATCAGAAGATAAGACTTCTAAGTTTGACAGTAACAATGAGACAAGTTGTTCTAAACCAGAATCGTCAGCAGATTCAGTTAATTCATTGGAGACTTCTAATTTAACGAATCAGGAGTGCAAGTCGTTATCTACGGAAAATGATTCGAGTATTAAAAAAGAAGAATCTTCTAATGATCCAGATGCTAAAGTAAATAATATGGCAGTTCAGTTGGGTATCGTTGAACCTGAAACAAAGATGCAAAATGTTTCCAAAGATTTGATTCTTCCAACAGAATTAAATGGTTTTAAGGAAGTAGATGAGAAGGAACTTAACAAAAATTCCAACAATTCCAAAGCTAAAGTGTTAACTTGTGGAGGTTTAAAATTCTTCCAAGGTGCCAAATTGGAAGCAAAAGATTTCAATGAAACGTGGTATGTTTGATATTCGAACAAAATGATGTGTTTTACAATGAGTTATATTGTTATATATTACGATCGTGTAATGGATTAATAATCGTCAATATTTTTGGAAGGTATTCTGCTAAAGTGGTGGAAACAGATTGGGAAGATAGAGAAGTTTTGATACATTTTGATAATTGGAGTACGAGATTCGATGAATGGATACCAATGGATAGTTCGAGACTAAGAGTATTGCAAACAGTACCTAAGTAAGTAAATATTATTTATGTTATAAGATTTGATATCTCCTCCTTAGAGGATAAAGCAATGCATATGTAAAAACTTACCATTTGCAATCACATTTCAATAATGCTTGTACAGTTTTCATGATATACTTATATGGCATCTTTTAATTTATTTATAGATTTTTCTTTCTATACAATTGTTAATCTTGTTAATATGTAAATTATAATTTCATGAGACCTGTAATGGCAAAAAATTCATACATCCTGATCATTATCGTATTTAACTTGTCTTCTAAATAAGTGCTAAGATTACTACCTATTATTGAAATTAATAGTAACGTTTACTAAATCATGACAGTTGTATAATCTGTCTTATATGTTTTTCTTTAAAGCGAGCAAACTTGGGTGCTGCCATCTCCGTAAGTGGATATTGCGTTATTAGAGAGGATAGATAATAAAATTTTGTAGCAATTCTTGTTGTTTTTTTTTTTTTTTTTAGAACGTAATTGAACATTCCTCTTATATGGTAATAATCTTAATTTGTTTGTAGATCTGTAGAATATTTTCTTTCTTTCTATCAAATATTTTTTCTTATAGCTTTGCGTAAATATAAATTTCTTCTAAAGTTTATTTCTGCTAACCACACTCTTTTAAATATCTTTTTCTTGAAAAATGAATGCATCTTTGGATGCATTCTATGTATCATCGATTGTAGAAAGTATTTCTTTTTTCTATTAGTAGTAGTTAGTTGGCTGTTCTCTTTTTAAGGATAATAATGAAGAATCTGTATAGTGTTTTTAATTATAGAAGAACGTATGAATAAAATAATTTATTACTTATATATACATTGGTAGCAGTTTGTTATTGTTTGTTTTAAAGTTGATAAAAGGTATAATAATCGAAGCGCTTGCATGTAAACATGATTCAAATAAATTTTTGCAAACTTACAATTTAAGGTATTCATCGATATATATATACATATATATATTTAGCTTTTTTCCATTGCATCATAGACATCATATACAAAGTTAATAAATTGTTCAAATATATAAATACAACTGAAAAAAAATCATAATCATGCTTATATCACAATACTTTCTATCTCATATTTGTTTATAATAAGTGTTTCATTTTTATCCTCTTCTATCAAATTTTATTTCTTATTTTTTTTTTTTTTTTTTTTTAATGTAATATATATTTAATGATACTTGTGATGACATACGTATTATTTTTATATTTTTGTTTAAATTTAAATTTCATATGTGGGGGAGGGATGGTTAAACAAAACAAAAGAAAAAACAAACGAAATTATGTTACTTTCATCTCAAGGATGAGAAATTATTTTGATAAATATTATTAAATATGTTATGTTGCATTTAAAATCCTTTATATGCAAGAGTAAGGTTGCACAAATCATAATAGGCGAATTTAATTGATTATCGTTTTATTTACTTAAACGCGGAAGGTAATATGTCAATTTGACACCCCCAGGGAAACCTCGAGCATGAAAGAGTTCGCAGTTGGAGAAAGGATCCTTGCTACGTGGGTGGATGGTAGAAAATATCCTGCTAAAGTAAACGCCGTCTTAGGGAATGGTAAGTAACCTAACCTTTACAACACTACCACCACTACCACTACCACCGTATGAAAGACAGAGATCGACAGTGTCCTCTCATTGTCCATTTGACGTTTTCACTTTGGGGAGGAGGACATTTTTTTGTTGTTGATTTATAATATTAAATCTAGTTAGTTATTATAAATAATTTATTTTCTTAGATAAATACGACGTGCTATTTGATGATGGATACGCAAAGATTATCAGGTCCTCGAAGATGACTAAATGCACTACCCCGCCCAAAACGGTATGCATATAATTATTGAGGTTATGTATTTATTTCTAACCCTTTTATTTTCAGATAAAGTTTATTTTCTTGTATGATTTTGACGTTTCTATCTATTAATTCATAAATCAACTTAAAGAGGTAGTCCTTTTTTATTATTTATTACATTTTTATTCAAATTGACATTACTTGTAATAATATTTTTCTTTATTGTTATTATTGTTAGATTTTTATATTTGTCTAGTGAAAATAAAATTAAATAAATTCGATGATCTAAATTATTTCATTGCACTGTTTTAATTGATTAAAACAGTGACATATTTATAGAAAACATTTTCATAAAAATGTAACCTTTTTCAATAACTTTGTTTTATTTATAATCATTGATTTATAATATTATTTATTTTGGCTCTATGAAGAAAGTGAACAAATAAACAATTATTTTTGATTAACATAGTTTTATTGTTTGGTGTTATAGAGCTGCCATATGTCTGCAGTATATGTCTTTTACAGTACATGAATATTTGTTTGAGGTTAAAAGTTCATTAAAGATAATTAAAACAGTCATTTTGTAAATAAGTATTTTGTATTTAAATATATTTAATTTTGATGAAAAATTAACTGAAACGTACATTTTTATTTTAATTACAATTGTATAGCAGCAACCAGTTCGAGGAGACAGTTATATAGGAAGTAAACAAGAGAGAAGAGACAAGAAAAGAAAACATACGGTCATGGAGCTGTTCAATACGCATTCTAGAAAACGTTCTAAACACGACAATGATAAAACAACTAAGAAAGAAGAATCTGTTTCCCGTAGCAATGTAGATAGTTTCCCTGAATCAAAGTTTGATTTGGATGGCACTTTATTTGGACCTTGTTACGATCCTGGTACAGATTTATTAAAAGGGTTTAACACAACTGTGCCTAAACCCAAACCTATACCAAAGAAAAACAAAAAAGAAATGCATAAATCTGATACAGAGCAAGAAGAGCAAGTTGGTCCAGCATGGGTTGATGGCGAACCACAAGGGATTGAATCTTACATCGTAGATGGAAATGATGGTAAATAATTCTTTGTTTTTATTTTTTTTTTTTTTAAGTATATTTAAATCTATCAATTTCTAGCTATAATATTTTGTATTTATTGTATGACCTGATATAAAAATTCTTTTGTTTTATAGGACCACGTCGTTCTATTATTGTACATGATAAAAGATTACCACCAGGATGGCAGAAACATTTTACTCAAAGAAAAGCTGGCAATTCTGCTGGAAAATGGGATGTTTTATTTATACAGTAAGTGAAAGATTTTAGATGCATTGTTTATCTGTATTATCTGAAATTGTCATAATGTCTTACACTAAGTATTGTTTTAGCAAGCCAACTGGAAAAAAATTTCGATCGAGAAATGACATAAGGACATTTATGGAAAGCAAAGGTCAATTCGACTTTGATCCAGAGAAATTTGATTTTTGTATTCACCGTAAGAAAAGGAATCATGCGCCGAAGATAAAGCAAGAACAACATACTACACCGGAAGTTCCAAAGAAGATTAAAACGTTATTGCCCAAAGTAAAAACACCAGTTTCTAATGAAAATACATCACTTGCGTCACCTAATACTCCAGTTAACGTACCAGTTACATCTCCAGGAATTACTGGAACTCCACTTAATAATGGAGGTATAATATATTTTGTTTCTTATTATTAAGATATTTGAAAATAAAGAATATCATTTTAATTTTTATTCTTATATTTATTATGTTTTAAATATACATTAGGAGCAATTTATTGTAAGTATGTATATTTTGATGATATATATATATATTTAAAAAGATACAATTATATTATTAATTAATTAAAATAAGTATTTAATATTATCATTTAAATAAATTTTTGTTTAAGCAGCTGTATTCATTGGTGGTCTTCGAGTAGAAATGGAAGACAGCGCCTATAAGTGTCCTAAACAAGGATGTAATAAGACTTTCAGGAAAGAAAATCTTTTACAAATGCATATAAAGCATTATCATCCTGAGTATTCGAAATTTTTGGGTTCCACGCCAAATGTTGCAGATCTGGCATATGCAAGAACAATCGGAGAGTCCATAGAAGACATTATACCAAAAAAATCGACACCTTTATCAGACAAAGTTCATAAATTTGGAAAAAAGAAAGCTTCTCAAGAAAGATCACCAGCGACTCTGACGCAATCGGGATTAAATTTTGTACAACCTTCTTCTCCATTTGTATTTGAGGAACAAGAAGATGAAGTTAATCATGTAGAGAAATTTAATGATTTACATAAAGAAGATAATAAATTAGAAGCAATGTCACCTATCTCAAATCGTAGCATAGAAATGGATGAGGATATTGAGAAAAGAAAAGAAAATTCGTGTGCCATGTCACCGGATACATTGTTTGGTATACAAATTAGAGAAGAGAGATCGGAGAAAGTTGGAATTAAAACATTATTACCTGTAGTACGACCACCTGTGACATCAGAAGTACAAAGGGTCGATAGATCCAAGTCTTTAGATGATTCTCTGCATACCGAAAAGGGTAAAGGTCAAAGAAAACGTCAGTTATCTGAATATAGTTCAGATGTTCCATCTAAAGGAAAAAAACGACATGGTATTTAATATTTTACAGTTTTTTTTTTTATTGTGTAAATTAATTACTTGTTGAATAATTTCTGTCCTATTCAAAATTAATTTAAATCATTAGAATGTAATAAAAATATTTATTTCATTAATCATTAATCAATTACCCATTTATTTTGACTATATTAATCATTATAGTCAGTGATTTCTGTTTCTCAAAAGCATCAAAAAATCAGGTATCGTATAAGAAAGAAATGAAACAGAAATTATGCAACGACCTAACGCATATCATCAGAGTCAATAAATAATATATTTAATGTAAGATTAATATTTAATGTACCTGAATAGATATGGCTGATATTTTAGATGATTATGGTGACCTTGATGACAGTGCAGTCGATGCAGAAGGTCCTACTGTTCCTATATATAGATACAGTCGTAGGAAATCTGATTGTAAAAGTGACGAAAATAGTCAAAATAGTAAGTTCACTATTTTATGTCATTAAATTTTCATTTACTATCAAGATCTAATCACATTATGTAATATTAAATATTTCTTTTGGTTATTATTATTATTATTATTATTTCATTATCGTATTATTTTTGTATTGCTCCTAGGTCAACTTAATGATTCTCGCCTTGAGAAAGGCGACCCCTTAAAAGGGGATTCTACAAAAAGAGATATTAGTAATGATGCGGAAGGTATTTTGTTCGTTTTTTTTAAACACCATTTTTTATTTCAACATTATTACATTATCCCTCCTTTAATTTTCATCATTAACGAACCATATCATTTTTTACACAATTAATATTAATATTAACAAGTTATTAGCCGTAATAAATATAATTAAAATAATTATTAATAATAAGAAACATATTTAGAAATATTAAATAATTTTCATAAAAAAAAAAAACATTCAGCTAATTGCTCGTATCATTTAATTTTTTTATCTGTGTGAATGAAAAAACACTTATTTTAAGATGAACATCTTTAGTATAAAAATAGAGAAATTATCAGGCAATTTTCCTAATAGGGATATGCTACTGTTAATTTAAAAACAAAAAATTTCCCATTCTTCTGGTTAAGCATTAAGAAAAATAATTATTGAAAAATACCTAATTGAACTGTATGAATTTATTAAATTAACTATCGTATTTTTTGATATCTTATTTATAGAAAGTGAAGGAGTTATGATGATGATTAATGGAGAAATGGTCAAAGTAGAACAACTTAGGCGAGAAGAAATAATAAATTGCACATGTGGATATATGGAAGAGGATGGTTTAATGATACAATGTGATCTTTGCTTATGTTGGCAACATGGTCATTGTAATGCCATAGAAAAGGAAAAGGATGTTCCTGAAAAATATGTTTGTTACATATGTCGTCATCCGTATCGAGAAAGGCCATCGAAAAAATATTATCATGATCAAGATTGGATAAAAGAAGGCAAATTACCCAGGTATATAACACATAGATTATATTTATATAATTATTTTTTAATAACAATATTAAATTCTTATAAAATATTTTTTGTTTGTTTTTTTTTAATTAGTTTACCAAGCAGAACGAAAGATCAAAATGCAATAAATACAAGAACTGCAATATTAAAGCGTTCGTACGATTTAGTATCTGCTTTATTGCAAATGCAACAAATACTTCATAGTCTAAGGGTGAAAATAAACGTGGCACAGTAAGTAAAATATTTCATTATTATTTGATATCATTGAATTCGATGTGTTATTCGATATTCGGGGTATATTTACAATCGATTATAGTCGTGTGAGATTGATTTTTTGTTCAGATCAAGATTTTTCATCAGCCGAAAATGTGTACATAAGAATTTCAATCAATAATGGCCACACTTTGGCTTGAATGAAAAGTATAATAGCTAATCACTAATGACAAATATTGTTCTTAATATGTTTATTTGTATGCATATTAGGAAGAAAGATCATCCGAAATTATATCTTTGGGCCAAAAATTGGGAAAAATTGGATGTACCCAAACCGGACACAGAACCTATTCCTGTAATGGAAATAATAAAAACACCTGTAGATTTTATCGATACAAGTTCAGAAACTTCTAGACGTACTGATATTAAAACAGAAACTAAAACATCCGTTAAGGATGATCACGATGACAAATCAATAGCCTCGGATTCGGAATTAATGAAAATTTTAGAAGAAGATAGCTCTAATTCCAACGAGTCTAAAGTAATGTGTAAAAAAGAAGATTTAGCTAATTCAAAAGGTGGCCATATATTATTAGACGCGTTAACAAGGAATGGTAGTCCAAATGAGAAACAAAAATTGAAGCTCGAAAATTTAACAGAAAATATAAGTAAGTTGAAACAAAATATTTTTTTTCATATTTTTTTCTTATAATTGAAGATGTTTATTATATTATTTTTATTATTATGATAGATACATATGGATCGGAAGATAGCAAATCGGCGTCAGGATTATTCGCGGATAACATTCATGGTGAAACAGATGTACCTGAAATTGGACAGGAATTATTAACTCCTTTACAACCATTTATACCAGAACCAGAAGCACCTATAGATTCTTCTGAATGTCGAATGAGATTATTGGAGCACATTGAACATTTTCAAAATCATATAGAATCAAGATTAATGTCATTAGAAGCTCAAGTTTCTGGTATGCTTATAATTTATAAAGAATAATCAACTTGAAATATCAAATAATATTAATCGTTATTTTTTTTTTCTTTTTTTTTATAGCTTTGGAAGCTATGGATTCTGACGAGATCATACCTAGTCCTGATGTGCAACCACGAACGAAGCAAACAGTACAAATGTTGCTTAGAGATTTGAATACAGTTCGTAAATTAGCTGCCTTATGTTAAAACATTTGGTTCTACAAATAGGATCTTGTAATAAAGATGATTTAAGCATTGGAAAATAATATTGCACAATGAAGTTACTTAAACGAATGTTACATTCATAATGTTTCTAAATGTCAGTGTGCAATACGTGATGTAAAGTATCTTTAAGACACAATTTCGTAAATTCCTACGTAAACTAATTTAGCCCTTTTTGTGTATAGTCATATTAAATAGAAAAGTAAGTTAATTATTATAATCACAGATTTTATATATCTATCAGTATATATCAATATATCTTTATTATCTACATAGGGTTATCACCCTAGTAGAAATCGCTTTTCCCAAAGATTCGTTTGTTTAGTAACACGTTTATGCAATGATAAGATGCGGTTACAGCTGTACAAACAACAGCTGATATTTTAGTACAGTTTCTTATGTGATACTATGGACACGGTATTTTTGTTAAATATTTTTTATTTTTATTATTGTACATCTTGCATTAAATAGTTCTAAAAAATGAATCTAAAGTAAATCAAGAAAGAATTCGCGCGGTGTTTATTATTTATTTCAATATTGATAGAAATATAATAATAAATATTTCAGAATCTGTGATAGATGGGAAAAGCGATTTTTATTTGACACATATTATGTATATATTATGTAAACGGGAAAAGCGATTTATATTTTACACATATTATGTATATATTCATATAGATATATTTTATTATATATCATTAAAATAAATAATTTAGATATATTGATATAAATATTTAGTTTTTAATATCATTATATACTGATTATATACGGAAAATAGCTTTAATTTCGTGGACTTTATAGTTGTTGCATTTTTCATATTATTATATTCATCATCATTATGAGATCAGAGCAAATAATTGAATATTTTTTCAGGATAAATAACAAAATATTTTTAAACATCTGGTGTGTTCTTAACACCATGAACAGATTAAAAATAATTAAGAAAAACTATAAATAATTATTACAAAATTAATATGGGTAACAAAATATTTTTATTGTAATAATGTAATGTTACATTATTAACATTATTTTTATTAAATTAATATGTTTTCCTTGTTTCTTAGTAAAATATACGTTCCACAAACAACAAAATCATTATCCTTTGACTTTGTTGCCTGGTTCGACATCGATGTCTGGATAGAACATTTGTATTTTCCCGCTATAGTTCAACAATGTAATAAAGAAATGATTTCACAGATGTCGCTAGAATTCATAAATTATGAATTATTTGATTACCGTCCGAGTATATCATAAATGATGAATCGCTGTTGTTTATGAGTTATTATAACAAGTTATTTAACAAAACATAAATAAAAATTCGATAAATCATAGTTTTTATCGTAGTTGCAATGAAAAGTGCTTGTAGTCTATTAGCTTCGTTTTAGACGACGACATTGGTAAACGGGAAATAGCATGGAAGGATAGACACATTGAATTGACGCGTGGGAGCAGAGAGAGAGAGAGAGAGAGAGAGAAAGAGAGAAAGAGAGAAAAAAATAAAGAAAGAAAGAAAAAGAGAGAAGGGTAGTCGGTGCATGCGCATTGGGTGTGCATGAGTAAGAGTGCGTCGGGAGGAGTGGTGACGGGGATGCCGGTGGGGGGTGAAGAACTGTAGAAGGCGGTGGAAGAGAGGGAGAGAAGGAACGAGAGGGCAGTCGCACAGGACGTGGAACGGCCGTTGCCGTGGAGCGTGTGCGCTTAACTTTCGGGCTACGTTTATCTTAAATATATTCGTTATGACGATACAGTGATCCAGCGCTGAGCGCTGCGACCGTACGTATTTACGATTCGTTCGGCTACGGCAGCGAGAACGAAGAAGACTATAAAAAACTATAATAACAATAACGACTACTACAACTATACGACGAAGACGACGGTGACGACGGTGACGACGACGCGAGATGGAGGCGCGTCGCGAGACGGTCTGATCGTGGTGTAGCTTACTGTTTCCGTCCTTCTCTCGTTTCGTTCCTTTACTCTCGTGTATTAGTATATACCTTCGCTGGGGTCTTCTTCCTCCTCCTCTCTTTTGTGAAATCGAGTGTGTGCGCCATGTGCCGCCGTCGTTCTACTCCTGTCGTCGCTGCTCGCGTGTGTCTTATTCCTTTTAAAGTGGATTTTAACATCATCGAGTAGGACCTCCCATTTCTTATTTCCTTTACCCGACCCTATTTCCCTCCCTCCCTTTTGCCTTTCTTTTATGAAAAATAAAAAGTTTCTACGAAGGGGAAGGAAGAAAGTGTCTTTAGTCTTCTGTTCCTTAGAGGAGGTTCGCCGGTACGCCCATCTCCCTACGATTGAGAAAGAGAAGGAGAAAGAAAGACAGAGATAGATATATAGATAGAAAGAGAGAGAAACGGAAAGAAAGAAAGAGTAAGAGAGAGAGAGAGAGATAGAAAGAGAAGGAATTTTCTTCTCTCCATTATTAGTGATCGTCGTCTCGTGTCCGGTACGTCGCAGAGTGCAAGTACGACAACTCGGAAAACGAAGAAATCTAGAAAGGCACATTATTCTCTTTTATATCAAATCTTTGTATTTTTGACTGTATCTCGTGGTGTGCCAATTGAGAGAAATAGAAGACAGAGAGAGAGAGAGAGATAGAGATATATAGAGAAAGAAAGAACGAAAGAGCGAGAGAGAGAGAGAAAGATAGCAAGTAAGTCTGACGATTTGGTGGGGGTAGTGGGGTGTTGGTAGTGGGGTGTTGGTAGTGGAAGGTGGAGTGAAGTCAGCAAGGCTGAGAGAGAGAGAGAGAGAGCGAGAAGGAAATATAAGAAACGAGAAGAGTGAAGAGAGAGGGGACACGTCTGGTCCGATTCCGTGCGTTCGAACGAGAGAGATAACGCGAGGGAGCGCAAGTGGCGTATCAAGATGGCGCATAATTTGGCACCGAGCGTCAACTGCTCGCTCGACGACATTGACCTGAACGCCCTGAAGGTACGTAAATATAAATATCATTTTATTCTAACGTATGTTGTTATTTATGATTATTCATATTTGTATATACCGGCATTTATTTCATTCTTAATTATCGACCAAATACATTCGATTAGTAGTCATGGAAAATCTAACGCACACAAAGAGAAAGAAAGAGAGAGAGAGAGAGAAAGAGAGAGAGAGAGAAAGAAGTTGATAGATAGAGAGACAGAGAGAAAGAGAGAGACTGAACGTTGATGATGATGATGAGAGATCGGGCTTTTGGTATTGGTCAGATGAAGATAACACGTACACGATCATCGACAAATTTGATCCAATGAAAACGTAATTTCCTCTCTATTTTGTTGGAAATAAATTTCTTTCTTTATTATTATTATTATTATTATTTTTTTTTGATGTCTCGACACGAGGGAGGATATGAAGTGTACAAGTAGTTAGAGAAAGAAAGAATGAAAGAGAAAGAGAGAGAGAGAAGAGGGAGAGGTCCTCGTATTCTCTCGTTCGATACTTCCCGTCTCGCGCAAACGTCTTCGAGAAGAATTGAACACTACCAAGAAGTTCCTATTTCTTTATTTTTTCTTCTTCTTCTTCTCTTTCTCTCTTGCCTTCTATCTTTTACTTCTTTAACTCGTGACCGGCCATCGAAGACATTCCGGAAGCGTCCGAGCGTATCGCATAACATCCGTTGACAGCTTGGCGCGAATCCCATCCAACCAATTTTCCTTCCGATTTTTAAATTCTTCCCCACAAACTTTGTTTTTTTCCTTTTTTGGTATTTAACAAAAGGCGTCACACTGTTAGGTACTTACTTTTCATTGTATATTTGCATCATATGTTAACCCTTTGCACTCCTATGTCGAGTGTGACTCGACATCGGTTTTTATCTAAAAAGATATCATAAATTTGAAAATTACAAAATATAACATAATGAAAATAAAAAATGGACATTTTATTTAATTTATTTCTTCCTTTACAATATATTTAAATGACCATAATTTTCAATTAAAGTAAATTTTCAATAAATATTTAAAATCATTGGAATCTGCTGAAAACAAAATTGAAATATAATTCGGAGTGCAAAGGGTTAAAAGAATATTCCTTTTAAATATTCAATGTTTCCTCTGTTGTTTGTAACAATGGGTTTTAGGTGTGGTGTACCAATGATGGTAGTGTTTATTGCACAATTGCAATTAATTATTGTCATTAAATATTAATAATATCATTTTTTCACTATTTACTAACTCTTATAATTCAGTATTATTAATTGAATTGAATTTTGTTCTTTAGTTTTATTTTAATATCTTTGCAACCGCTACTACTGTATATCTCAACAGTTTAAACGTTTCCAATGATTTTACATTATTTACAGGCTTTTAATTCAATTTGCTAACGTGTATATCTCAGGGCTTCTCAAACTTTTCCACTTGACGAAACCCCTTTTACTCGAGTAAATATTTTCATGACCCTGTATATATAGATTCTGCACTATCTTCTCTTCCACTATTCACATTAACTTACAGACGTACATTATGTGCAGTGTTGTTTAAATCATTTAAAATTAAATTTTGATATATTGAAATTTCATCGACCATCTATGGGCTCACAAAGCACCACACTTAAAACTTAAAGCTTAAATAATTTAAAATTAAATTTTGATATATTGAAATTTCATCGACCATCTATGGGCTCACAAAGCACCACACTTAAAACTTAAAGCTTAAATAATTTAGAATTAAATNTTCATCGACCATCTATGGGCTCACAAAGCACCACACTTAAAACTTAAAGCTTAAATAATTTAGAATTAAATTTTGATATATTGAAATTTCATCGATCACATATGGGCTCTCAAAAACACCACACTTGAAACTTCCTTGCCTCTCGTACTTTGTATTACAATTGCAATTGATTTGTATTAGAAAATATTTTCAATGATTTTTCAATATTTACATACTTTTAATTCAATATAGAGATTTTATTTCAAATATGTTTTAATACAAGCATTAAATATGGTATATGTATGTTGCATCGTGTACGCGTATACACGTTCTAATTTTAAAATAAAGTATCGGGTAAAGTTAGATGGTTATCATGTATATTTATATATTTGAAAATTGTCGTATATTATTATTATATATGTAGATATAATAATATTTACGTATAGGTCACTACAAGCTGCGCATAAAATAATAATCGATTTATCGTTTAATTTAACGTTAAATTGTCGCCATGTTGTAAACACAAGGTGTACACATTTTATTTTGTATAATATCTTTTTTTATTCTTGTTTAACGGTTCTAAACCTCTCTCCTAGCCTCACCCCCCCTCTCTCTCTCTTTCTCGTCTGTTCGATGCGTGTTTATGCGATATATCGATCGTGAGAACGAACTAATGCAAAATAACTCGTTAGAAAGTAAGTTAACGTTAACTTGTGCTCTAACACCGTTTAACTTTGTCTCTTTCCTTCCTCCATTCCTCTCTCAATCTCTCTTTCTCTCTCTCTCTCTCTCTCTCAATTTTTTGTTCTTTTTCTTACTTTTATTATTTCCATTTCTTTCTAATTCATTGACTCGTTTTCATTGTTACAGGAACCCGCTGGAATATTTGAGCTGATCGAAGTTGTTGGTAATGGAACGTACGGGCAAGTTTACAAAGTAAGTCTTTTTGCAATAATCCTTTTTTTATTTTTTTTTTTCGATTTATCTATCTATATATCGATCTATCGATCGATCGAAGGATCTTCTATTTGTCGGCAATTACTTAATGGTCAGACAAGTTTTTCTATGCTTTTAACATGCGACTGATTCCACTCCTGTTATACCTGTAAATACTTGAATACCAATACACGTTTATTATATATACAGTAATTGATTGAAGAATACTACTAAATGTAACTAAATACATATATACTTATTATCTACGGGTGTGTTAGTTGTATTACGAGATACGTAACGAGCAAGAACTATTTCTAATTCAATCTTATAATTTCAATAACATTTCACGAGATTATACGTGATTATTTTATAGATTTTTATTTACAAATTGTTTATAAAATATGTTCAATTATATTAATATAATTAATATATATTATATAGTAGTAACTCGACCTAGTGGGCTCAGGGGCGGCCAGACTCCTGTGCTTTGCAAGGGAATCGGGACTGCCCGCGGGACCGCTATGGTCATAGGTTTCTCCCCGCAAGGGGCCCGGGTACAATGGTCCTGAGACTGAGCGCCCGGGTAAACAAACCTCAAGAAAAACAAAAAAAAATATAGTAGTAACAGTTCAATTATATTAACATCACTTATTTTAAATTGTGTACGCGTAATGCAGGCACGTATATTAATATTAAATTATTTAATTTTAAATTAGTAGTATGATTCAAGTTAGAAGAATTTAATAATATTTGTTTTTCATTATTGTTTGATAAAATCTACGTAATTTTTTCTTTATTTAGTTAGGATCAAAAGTGTTGAATCGTTGAAAGAACTTACTCGACTTGTACAAATATTACACACACATATATATATATTTCTAAACCGTGTAGTTTAAAATAACGGTATGATTGAAAAAGGAAGAACTTTAAATTCTTTTTGGTTTCTTTATCTTGTAATAAAATCGTGGTTATTATTTTTTGATTTAATTATATATATATAATCTATTATAAAATTCCATAATAAATTGTAGATCATATAAAATATATATTTTATTTGATCTAATAATATTACAATAACAAACAAAAAATTATAGATATAATCTATTATAAAATTCTATAATAAATTATATAATATAAATTGTAGATTATATAAAATATATATTTTATTAGATATTATAATATAATATAAATATATTTTATTTAATAGAATA